AGGACTGTAGTGAGAGGGTAATAGGGGTAAGGTGGGGATGAAATGACAAATTCATTTTACACATGTATTAATTATCAAAGAATAAAAACTAATTTTTAAAACTGCTAGTGCCTACTGGGGCCTTCAGAGGAAATGCTGGTGGCACCATTAGAGGAAATGCCAGTGGCACTATTAGAGCCCCTCATTAGATACTTGTTGATCAGAGGCTACAGTCTCTCCTAATGGACTCTTACTTTCACGAGCTCATTGTAAACCGGGTTCCTAAGGGACAGGTAAAAGAGACTGCTGTGTTTTTTCTTCTTACTTTCCCACCTCCTGCCTGTCTCTGTCACCTTCCTTCTTCCTTTAGTGGGTGCTTGTTTTTGTATCATTCCTCTTACATGTTTTTGGAACAAATCTACCTACCTATCTACCTCTCCCTTTTCTATCCTCTATCATATGGGTCTGTGGATTAAAACCAGGGTTATAGGCACATTTTGCAGGTGTCTTAGGGCTGCAATGAAACACCGTGACCAAAAATCAAGTTGGGGAAGAAAATTGTCTATTTGGCTTATACTTGCACATTGTAGTCCATCACTGAAGGAAGACAGGACTGGAGGCAGGAGCTAATGCAGAGGACATGGAGGAGTGCTGTCTATTGGCTTGTTCCCTGTGGTCTGCCCAGCCTGCCCTCATACAGAACCCAGGACCAGGAGCCCAGGGATGGCATACCCACAATGGGCTGGGCCCTCCCCCATCAATCAGTCTGGCCCTACAGCCAGATCTTATGGAGGCATTTTTTTTTTCAATTTAGGATCCCTCCTTTCAGATAACTAGTTCGTGTAAAGTTGACATAAGACCAGCCAGCATAGTGAGTGTTCTACCATTAAGGTCCATGTTCAACCCCAAACTTGTAACTGGAGTAATGACGTCTCCATGCCTGTGTAAAGGTAAGAACACATCTAGGTAAAGGGAAGTGTCAGGAGATTGCTACAGATAAAGTGAAGCTATAATTTAGGAAGTAGACATTTGGGGCAATATTTGAAAATTTATTTTCTTCTGCAATAAAAAGTTACCTTTCTCAAAGTCATTTATTGAATAAGGTTATTCAAAATAAGTATTTCAAGCTGACTCTCCTATTTTCTGTATTAAAAATTTGCACTGTGCCACTGTCTAAAGTAAGGAATATAGGAAGATTATGATATGGCAGAAATGCTGACATAGATTAATTCTGATTTGGGGCAAAGGAGCAGAAAAATACCAGTTTTTGAATTAAATAAATAAAGATTTCTTTGTTTGTTTTTGTTTTTACGAGACAGGGTTTCTCTGTATTGTTTTGGAGGCTGTTGGTCCAGCCTGGCCTCGAACTCACAGAGATCCGCCTGCCTCTGCCTCCCGAGTGCTGGGATTAAAGGCGTGCACCTCCATCGCCCGGCCATAAAGATTTCTTTTTAAAAAGGTTTGTGTGTGTGTGCATGTGTGTTTATGTGCATGTGTGTGTGTGTATGTGTTTATGTGCATGTGTGTGCGCATGTGTTTATGTGTATGTGTTTATGTGCATGTGTGTGTGCGCATGTGTTTATGTGCATGTGTGTGCGCGCGCATGTGTTTATGTGCATGTGTGTGTGTTTATGTGCATGTGTGTGCGCATGTGTTTATGTGCATGTGTGTGCGTATGCGTTTATGTGCATGTGTGTGTGTATGTGTTTATGTGCATGTGTGTGCGCATGTGTTTATGTGCATGTGTGTTTGTGTGCATGCGTATGTGTGTGTTGGTGTGTGCACTTAAGTGCAGGTACCTCAGGAGGCCAGGAGAGAGTCCCCTGAGGTGGAGTTACAAGTGTTGTAAGCTGCCTGATGTCCCTGGGAACTGATTTTAAGTCTTCTAGAAGAGTAGCAGATGCTCTTAACTTTTGAGCTTTCTCTCCAGCCCTGACTAGATATTTTCTGAGTCAGATGTATTTGAGAAATGAGGAAAACATAAAAGGAAAAAATTCCTTTGACCTTGTGGACTGGTAAAATAAAAACTGAAAATTTCCAAAATTGGGAGATTTGTAGTTGGTTAGTTGTAACTAACAAACTATTACTAATAAAAACTTGTAATTAAATAAATATAACCCCAGACAACAATTCACCTTAAGCTTTTTATTTTTATTTATTTATTTGTAATGTGAAAGACAGGGTTTCACTATGTTGTTCTGGCTGGGTTGCAACTTGCTGTGGAAAACAAGCTGGTTTCAAACTCACAGTGATTCTCCTGCCTCTGCTTCCCTTGTGCTGAGATTAAAGGTGTTTTCACATCCCTAACAATTCAGAGACCTTGTGGTTTAATTTAAAATGAAGTCCAATATGAATAACACCATATTGACTGTTTTCATTTACATATTTCAAGAGATAACAAGCTACTGCCTTTTCATAAATATATCAGAAAGAGAAAAGGGGGAAATGAATACCAGATTCATCTGGAAAAAGAATAGCATAAAACCACATGGTGGTTCTTAAAAAACTATTTTAAGCAACTTTATCATTGTGGTCTCAAAATTGCATTCATTGTGATACTACACTATTATGCTGACCTCTTTTAATAGACCTGCCATAGATTTATTATAAATATGTCAAATGATATTTGACAAGTCAACCCAATGAAGAGATGGGCCAGACACCTAAGTAGACATTTTTTCCAGTAAAGACATAGAAATGTCCAATAAGCATGTGAGAAGAGGCTGGGGAAATGCAAATCAGCCACAGTGAACTACCAATGCACACTCATTAGGATAGCTACCACTTTTAAACAGGGGGAATAACAGTGATGGGGAGGGTGTAGAGACACTGAGCTCTTTGTGTAGCTGCTGTGGAAGACAGGTAGTTCTTAGCTGGTGAAGGTTAAATAGCACTGTAAACAGACAACACACTCATCATACTTAAAGCGATGAAAAAGGTAAGTTTGTTATTTGTATTTTATCATAGCAAAACAAAATAAATGAAGTATTAAAAAGAAATTTTTTTAATATCCAGAAACTATCCAGAAATAACCCATGTCAGCATTTGGTAATTATTTTACTTCCTTATTCTGTGCTTTAAACTTTTTGCTGTGAGACTTCTGACGCTATCTCTATTAGAAAGTCTAGATAAATGTAAACAGCATCCATGAACATCGGGGCTTGGTTAACACAGACCCTGAACCACATGTGAGCAGGCCACCTCTCCCACACAGGCAGCTGTGGTCTTACAGAGCACGGGCCGAGCTGGCCAATTTCAACACAGAAATAATAACCACGTGAAACTGGAAAACTAGGAAGACTCACAGGCTGCATAATTAAATACATCTGACAAGCACGGTCGTTTCTAGCTTATGCTATTTGGCAGTGCTATTTTTGGTCTGATCTCATGTTACTGTAAATGCTATTTTTTCTCTTTGAAATATTTCTAGATATAAAATGATACAAGAATATTTGGCAATATTCAAGTTTGTCTATCATCAGAATATATATATATATATATTTGTATTATATTTTTATTTACTTATTTTGTGTGACATGTCTATGCATGTGGGTATCTATCTGGTGCAGGGTACATGAGGAGGTCAGAGGACAACTTGCAGTAGTTGGTTCTCTACATGTGAGTACTGGGGTTGGAACTTAGGTAGTTAGGCTTGGTGGCAGGCACCTTTACCTGATGAATCACTGAGGATTGGGTGGGGGACTCGGGGGCTGATGGAGGGACAAGGGAGGAGGGGTGGGAGAGGGAGCTGTGATTGACATGTGAAGCTTTCATGTTTCTAATTTAAATAAAAACATTACAAAAATAGGTGTAATGATACAAAGTTTAAGAAATGTGTATATTAAACAACATTTAGGAAGTCAAGGAACACTTTGTTCTTTCTTGTAACTTTAAACCTAAGTAGTGACAGAAAGGCAGAAGTAGCACGTGGCACTCTGCCCGCTTTAGATAGTAAGATGAGGTTGGTATAAGAGTTGAAATATCCTGCAAGTAACTATAATGCATTCAGTATTGGGTTCCCTTCCCCAGCCTCCTCAATCCTCAATACACATCTGTTCACTATTTATCAATAGAGAATGTCTGAATTCTAGATTTAGTTCATCATTTCCTACCTGTAGACAATTTACTTAGACTTTCTCAGCTTCAATTTCTTCATTGGTGAAATAGACATAAAGAAAGGGTCTACTTCATAGGTTTGTTGTGAGAGTTAAGTGAGTTAACATGGAAAAAGGTCCCAGAGAAATGCTTTTGCATGACTTACTGTAGTGACAACGGCCATATGGACATTGTGTATTCAACCCTGGCACAAATATGGGAGAGCTAGTAATACATTGTGCTTCCTTAGCATAAGGATTTGTTTAAAGATCCACTTCTGCCTTTTGTGAGTGTGAGATCTGGCCCAAGCACATGGCCAGAACTCTGAGATAGAGTCTGAAAACATTTTCCATAATAAAATGTAGTTCAGTCAGAAAAAAAAGGACCAACCAGAACAAAAGACCTGGAAGGATCGATCCTTGAGAGATAGGACTTGCAAAGGGCTGGCAACTGGGCTTTGCCCCGGAATCTCTACCTCTCTCCGAATTCCTCAGATAATATCATAGGTGTTTACCTGCTGAGTAAGAGGTGTGAATTTTCACCTAGCTCCAGAGCCTGTATTCCCCACTGTGTGTGTGAGCGTGTGTGCACGTGCATATGTATTTCAGGGGCACGTGGGTGTATATGTCTCCTGCTCACAAAGGAATGGCATTAGAATGAAAACCAGTTGTAGCAATTTTGGTGGCCAGCGTGGTTGGCCAGTTAGATGCCTTTATAAGTACTATAAGTATACAGTTAATTTTCAGTGAATACTCTGTGTGTGGGGGAAGGCTGGACATTACTGTGTACTACTATGCCTAGCTCACTTTTGTTTGTTTTTTTTACTAATTTTTTGTTTTGTTTTTAAACTTTCATTTTCTTGCTACATATATGTTGCGTTTTAAATGAAAATTTTGCTGAGTTCCAGTTTCCACACTTTAACGCAGGTATAATGTCCTTGCTGAGGCCTCTCCTTCTGGATGTGGTCCCAACAATTCAACAGACTGCTGCCTTGGCTCTGGGGAGGCTGGCCAATTACAATGACGACTTAGCAGAAGCAGTTGTGAAGGGTGACATTCTTCCACAGCTTGTCTATTCACTGGCAGAGCAAAATGTAAGACTTTTTCAAAAACTTACTTTTTTTGTTTTCTTAGATTTAAAAAATTGATAGCTTTGGCACAGTTGTAAACTTGAAGGCATTAGAATCACTGGGACGTTAATATAACTTAGATGCTTATATGTACATGAACATATCATATCTTTAGGGAAGTTTTGCTTTGGGGCTGATATGAGGTTTTTGTTTTCATTACTGTTAATTTAAGAGGCCTATGATAAAAGTTCAGGAAATTAGACACATGCAGCATTTCTCCACATTTGAAAGCTCTAGGATCTACCTCAGGGAAGAGGGCAGTACCCTGGGTCAGAACATAGCTGCTGTCAGCAACCCTTACAGGCTGCCTGAAGAGTGAGTGACAACTCTGGGGGAGACACTGCATTAAATGGAGTTTGATAAATTCTTCTGAGTAAACAAGTATCCTAACTCTTTTTAAAACACTCTCTGGGGGCTAGAGAGATAGCTCAGTCCATAAACTGAGCCCCATTAACACCAGTACCTGTGTTCAACCTCAGAATCCATGTAAAAATGGCAGGCACAGCGGCCCATACTTCTAATCTCAGCCCTGGGGATGAAAGGCAGGGCATAAGGACCCCTGGGGTTCACAAACCAGCCAGCCTAACATAACTGATGAGCTAGGCCAAAGGGGGACACTGTCTCAAAGGAGCAGAAGACATTCCTAGGGATGGATGCCTCTGGTTTACACACACACACACACACACACACACACACACACGTGCACGCACAGACACACAGTGCTTTGGTGTTATTCTATGTTTCTCCGCCTATTTGGTATGTGTAAGTAGACTTTTAGACTACCCATTCCACTCTTAGTTTATCATAATGCAGGTATACAGCTTCTTTTGATATCCTTAAGTCTGGATTCCTATTTATATAACAAAAAGATAAATAAGAACTGAAGAATGGACAAAAGACTTGAACAGTACTTCCCAAAAGAACATCTCCAAATAATGAACAAACACAAGAGAAACTAGGTAGCATTGGTAAGAGGTACAAGTTAAAGGCATGGTGTGGTATCATGGCACATTTACGAGGATGACCATAATAAATAGTTTCAAAGAAAATTACAAGTGTGATGATGAAGTGGAGAAATAGGAACCCTCAGCTATTGCCTGAATGAATGCAGAATGACATGATTGCTATGAAAAGAAATTCAGCAGGTATGCTGTGAGTTCAGTTTTATGATACGAATGAGCAATTTTTGTAGCTTTGCATCTGAAAGAACTAAATGCAACACTCACAAAAGTCATCTACTAATGTTAGAGCAGCACAACTTAGAGTAGTCTGGAGGGAAAGCAATGCAAGTCCATCAAAGGACAAAGCGTAAAAAAATCATCTATCCCATACAATGACTATTGTTCTGTCATAAAAAGGAATTGAGTACTGATAAATGTCACAACATGGATGATTCTCAAATCATTATTCCAAGTGAAAGATGCCAGACACAAAAGCCTGCACAGTGTAATTTATATGAATATACAGAATATGCAAATCCATACAGACAGAAGCAGACTCATGGGTACCAAAGGGTGGGGGAAGAAGGAAGAGAGGAAGCACTGCTGAATTTTAAGGGATTCTTTTTGGGGATGGGTTTTGAGACACAGTTTCTCTGTGTAGCCCTGGCTGTCCTGGAACTCACTCTGTAAACCAGGCTAGCCTCAAACTCAGAGATTTGCCTGCCTCTGCCTTCTGAGTGTTGGGGTTAAAGGTGTGGCCACCACTGCCCAGTCCTTTAAAGGATTCTTGGGTGGTGAGAATGTTCTAGAACCAGACAGCAGTGGCACCTGCACAATACTAAGAGTTTAAATGGGAATTTAATGATGTATTTATCTTACCAGATTAAGACATCTTAACTGTGCAGAAATTTGTTTTATGTCATAGATTTACTTTTTAGTGCCTTTTAAAAGAATTAAAGAGATTTCACTTTTCTGTGGGTGTTTTTGCTTCACATGTGCTGTCAGGGTTTTTTCTCTGGACCATTCAGCCTTACCTTTGAGAGCAGCTTTTGCCTCCCATGTGTAAATTCTTGATGGTTTTCTAATCAGGACTATCTGTGTTCTAGTCGTAAACAGACATCTAACACTAGACAGAGAAGTGAGGAGGTAGCTTCATTACAATAAAGCAAGGATGCGAGGCATTCCCCATGAGGCCCGTCACTGACACAGTGGCTGCAAACCATGCCCTATGTGTAAGTTAAGAAGTCCTGTAATTTTTCTTTTTGTTTTCAGTTCTTTTGGTTATATGAATAAGAGGGCAAAATGTGAAACATTAGTAAAGTGCAGGAGAAAGTGATAAGAAAGTGAAAATTCTAGGTACTGGTAGTTAGCAGGGAGCTATTGATGACTTTGCATTATAAATTGGTAATCCTACAGAATAAAAAGTCCAATTAGTTTAAGATAATGACAAGAAATGTGCCAACATTATTTTTTATGATTATAATAAAATAATCTTTAGACAGTTATTTTAAAGGCCTATCTTAATTTTAAATTAATTAGTAGAAATTGGGTTTTTGACATAATTTAAGAAACAAAAGGAAATATGTACCACTAAAACATCAGTACTAGTATTTTTTGTATTAAGGTGTCACTGTTTTAGATATAACATGTTAAAATGCACGTGATATGTTTTCTTCTTTTATCTTAATTTGTATGTTTTTAGTCTAAGTGACTAGCAATCTTTCAGAGAAGGTAGTTTGCTATTCCTTCTTTAGTAGTGTGGTAGTTTGAATAAGAAAAGCCATGTCAGGTTCTTATATATGAATGGTTGATTCCCTGGTTGGTGGAACTGTTTGGGAAGGATTAGGAGGTATGGTCTTGCTAGAGGAGGTGTGTCACTGGGGTGGATTTTGAGGTTTCAAAAGCCAATGCTAGCCATTTCCAGTTAGTTTTCTCTCTGCCTCCTGGTTGTGGATCAGATGTAAGCTCTCAGCTGCTGCTTCAGAGCCATGTCTGCCTGCTGCCATGCTGCTAACCCTAATGACCATGGTCTGTTAACCTTTGACAAGTATGAGCCCTATAATGAAATTCTTTCTTCCATAAGTTACCTTGGTCATGGAGTCTTCACAGCAATAGAAAAGTAACCACGACAGTTTTAATATAAAGAAATCAAAACTGGATAATGTCAAGTCAGAAATTAATTGGGTTTTATTAATAAGGATAGTAAGGTCAGTTGAACATAGTGGTGCATGCCTTTAATGTTAGCACTCAGGACATAGAAGCAGGCAGATATCTATGAGTTCAAGACTAACATGGGCTATGTGGTACATTCAGGGTCAGCCCAGTGCACACAGTGAGACCTTATCTTAAAAAACAAGCAAGCAATGGAACCAGCAGAAAATTATGAGGTCATTCCTATATTATTTTAGTCACATAACAACTGTGTTGTAGGCAAATATTTCTTGCAGATGTAACTTGTGGGGACAACAGACCTTGGCCAGAGACCCACTTCCCCATCAGCCTGGGACCAGGCAGCTGTAAGACAATGTTTACTAAAAACATGTTTACTAAAAACAATACAGTGCCCAGGGCAATAAGTTCCTGATAAGGGCTTGCCCACGGGAACTGCCCTGACCTCAACCTTTTCCAAAGACTAACCACCTCTTCTGACCCCACCCAAATCAGTCTCTGGTGTCAGAGCAGAACCAGCCAGGGGTAAGAGAGGGAGCAGAAGCTTTTCTGGAGGGAAGCCTTTCTTGGGAAGTCTTCTTGAGCCTTTTTGGGGCCTGCTTAAAGTTTTCTTTACATCGTTGACTGGTCTCTGTGTCATCAATCCCGACACCCTCTGCACATTCTCGGATACAGGCTGCGCAGCGGGCGCGGCAATTGGCGGTCCCACCGAGATCGTGAAAGCGAGGTAAGTGGACGGGGTTAAGAAACGATGGGGAATAGTTCCGGGAAGCTTGAATCATTACAGTATCAATTAAAAAAAGTTACTTAAAGGACATGGGACTGCAGTCAAGTCTAAAACCCTAGAAGGCTTTCTAAAATGGATTGAATGAGCGAGCCCATGGTTCATTACTGGGGGAAGCTTAAATATCCCAGATTGGGAGGAGGTTCACTGTGATCTTCATAGACTTTTACGAAAAGAGGGATCTGAGTCCTTGCCCCCTACAACATTCTCCTTATGGAGATGAGTGAGGGGTGCACTTTTGACAGATAAGGTTCGTCACCGCCAGGTAGTTCAGGACACAAAAGAGGCTTTTTTTAGAGTTACAAGAGACTGAGACTCAAGCCTCCTTGAGTTCAGGGGCAGAGAGTGAGGATGAATCATCTGAAGAGACCCTGCCCAAAACTAGAGGCTCCATTGTTAGTGAGGATGAGGAGGAGTCTCTTAGCAACAACAAAAAAATGGGTACAGATCTCCGGGTGCAACCCAAAAAGAAGGACTCCAGTCAGAATCGGTTATATCCTTCTCTGTCAGATCTAGAAAATGGAAGTAGCTCAGACTCAGACTCGTCAGAGTCTGAGAAGGAACGGTTACGTGCTGAGATCACGGCCCTTAAAAAAGAACTAAAAAAGACTCGAATTAAGAAAAGAAGGGACAGGGAGATGAGTGGGATCAGGATACATGATGTGAAATGCACAAAAAATCATAAAAATATTGTTTTTTAAGAAAGAAAAAATACTTTCAAATGAATAAAGAAAAGAAAAAGAAATCTCCACAAGATCAAGCTGTAGGTAAACCTGAAGGGCATTTTCTTAATTAGTGATTGATATGGGGGCCCAGTCCATTGTGGGTGGTGCCATCCTTGTGCTTATGGTCCTGAATGAAGAAAGCAGGCTGAGAAAGCCATGAGGAACAAGCCAGTAAGCAGCACTCCACAGACTCTGAAGGAACATCCAGCCAGTCGGTTAATGTCTGAACAGAAAAGTTAAGATGCAAATGAGACCTTGTCAGCTAGTGAGAGCTCTACCGGTTAGATTGGGAAAGACGGCTCACAGATTTAAAATAATTTTCAAAAGTTATTTAGGACACAGTATAGTTTACAATCTTTGAGTGATTTTCAGAAGTTTATGGACTGTGATGAGTGGCAAAAGCTCCTTTTCAGTATTTGAACAGGACATGGTCACTTGAACTATCAGCCTTGGTGGTTCCTGTTTCTGGAATCGCGCCTATGCCAGTGTATTTTTCTGGAGAAATGCAACTTGTCCTAATGCAACAAAAAAGAGACTTTGGCTCAAGTCGCATATTCAGCTGAGGCTGCTGACATTAAATCAACAAACTGCATTACCACAGGAACAAATTGATGCTCTGTGGATAGTGCAACAAGCCTCTTGTTCATATTTTTTATCATGCTACATGTGTAACATCAATGATTGTACCTAATGTATCTGTGCAAGTGCACTTTCTAAATGCTTTCCTGAGTAGATCTTGGAATGATTGTAAACTTTATCACTGTTTTGGCCATCAAATTGTAACTGTAAATCACATGCGGGTTACCCTTGTAACAGTGGAAGGCTGGTAGAATGTTATGGCCCAGATCTGGGGATGGGTACGGTGATGGAGAGGCACTATGTCAATGGGGGTCCTGGAAATGGTGGCAGTGGCAGTAGGCATTCTGGCTTTATGCCGAGTTCAAACATGCCTTGTTCCAGAGGCAAGAGATCCGTAACCAAGTATTGCTCAGCTTAGCCCATGGCAATCCCGGTAGCCATGAAGTCTGGTTACAGATGATTTAAGGATGAGGTTCTTCAATGACGGGCAACCTGTGGGGAAGACACCTCCCACCTAAGACAGGGGTCGGCAGGTCCCCCACGGACGGGCAAGGGAGGGTGACCCTACTTGACCTAAGACAGGAGTGCCTCATTAGAAAATAAAAAAGGGGGAATTGTGGGGACACCAGACCTTGGCCAGAGACCCACTTCCCCATCAGCCTGGGACCAGACAGCTGTAAGACAATGTTTACTAAAAACATGTTTACTAAAAACAATACAGTGCCCAGGGCAATAAGTTCCTGATAAGGGCTTGCCCATGGGAACTGCCCTGACCTCAACCTTTTCCAAAGACTAACCACCTCTTCTGACCCCACCCAAGTCAGTCTCTGGTGTCAGAGCAGAACCAGCCAGGGGTAAGAGAGGGAGCAGAAGCTTTTCTGGAGGGAAGCCTTTCTTGGGAAGTCTTCTTGAGCCTTTTTGGGGCCTGCTTAAAGTTTTCTTTACATCGTTGACTGGTCTCTGTGTCATCAATCCCGACACCCTCTGCACATTCTCGGATACAGGCTGCGCAGGGGGTGAGGCAGTAACTTTTTAGCAAATGGAGAGAAATGTGTTACTCCTATGTCTCACTTTCAGTTTTTTTATTACCTGACCATATGAAACATATATATGTGAAACACCATTCACAAACTATAGAAATGATCCCTGAAAGTATAATCTTGTGAAACACCATTCACCAGCCACACAGTGACTGGCTTGTTTTTAATCTTTAAAAAAGCCTTTCTAGAATAGAAAAATAACATATCCTATTGTTTACCGTATTATTTTTTTAACCAGGACAAGTTTTAGAAATGTGAATGTTTTACCTTACTGTCTCTGTGATTGCTAGGTTTGTCTTGGAGCATAGCTGCTATTCAGGATGATCTGCTGAGGTCAGGACAGCTTGCCATCCTTAGAGGCTGAGAGGAAGTAGAGGAGAAGAGGTGGTCAGTCCACAGAGACACTCAACGAACTAACATTCTAGAGTTCCCACAAGTCAAACAGTACCTTTCAGTATCAAGCAGACACAGAAAATCCTATTATTTTATGAATTTGCAGAAAGCACCATGTTTATGTTTGATTTCATACAATTTCACAATGCATGCTTCAAAGAAAAATATTTGTAACATCATTTAAAGCTTACCTCTTTTCCAGGTTAGTTACTGAACAGAAAAGCAATGGGGGATATCAAAGAATCAGCATGTTTGCAGGCGGTTTGCATTGTTTGCATTCAGAGGCCTTTGTGCTTTAGGTTAATGCCATTTTTGTGTTGCTTTCAGGCTATTTTAGATTCTGGGTTTGTTCTCTTTTCCCTGTAGTGTGTCTACAAGAAAGCAGCTGCCTTTGTGCTTCGAGCAGTTGGTAAACACTCTCCTCAGCTGGCGCAGGCCACAGTTGACTGTGGCGCCCTGGACTCCCTCGTGATATGCTTGGAAGATTTTGACCCTGGAGTCAAGGAAGCTGCAGCCTGGGCACTTGCATATATTGCAAGGCATAATGCAGGTATTGGGGTGTGTTTGAAAATACGATGACTCAAGTTTAGATTTATTAGCTAAAAACAGGCTTGTTTAGTAGATCGATGGAGTTTTCAAGGTGCTGCTGGATATCATGAAAGGCCAGTCTCGAGGGATGGTCATACTGTTTGGATTACACATTTACAAAACACATGTACATTTGAATGCCAACAGAAGGGAAACTTGAAGGGGGTGAGTGGTATGGCAGAGTGGGATTGGCAATGGCACATTGTCTGTAGTCCCAGCATTCAAGAAACAGGAAGATTCAATCAACCTGGGTTACACAGTAAGACACTGTCTCAAAACTAAACCAAACCAAGTCAGATAAAACAAAACAAAACAAAAAACCAAAAAGTTCAACCAACCAACCAGATAAGTTTATTCTTGGTAACTGGTCAGATAATGATGTTTTTCTGAGCCCATTGTCATTCATGACAGGACATTTGAATCCAATCAAGGTGCTAAATCACAAGAATGAGTGATGTGAAAAGATGATGAAAAGGTGTAGAAAATGCTTTATTCCCTCATGTTAGCAGGAAGGAGGAGGAAGAAAATAAGGGCAACAGTCTTCTATAAACTGATGTCTTGGTGAAGACAACAGGATGGGATGTGGGTCTCCCGGAAGAAAGCTGTGCAGACACACGATTGATAAATGATATGTGGGGGATGGACTCACTGCATCTTCTGTAGAAGCTGCTGAAGAGCAAATGACAAAAGCATATGAAAACGATCAGCTTTGCTAGGAATCAACAGGTAGCATATTGAAACAGGATAGCCATCTGCTTACAGGGGAGGAGGGACGTGGCAGGACAGCCACAGGTTAGGGTCTGGATTCCATCCAGGCTTGCATACTTAGCTGCTGTATGACCTCAGCTCTGTAACTTCTGAGCTTTGACACCCTCATCTGAACAGAGGGTAGCTAACAGTCATTTCTCAGGTTTGTAATGAGGATGGTGGCATTAGAAGCAAAGATCTCCAATCATTGCTAGTCATGTACCTGGTGAATACAAGGTGTCAATTTTAGTGTTAAATATTGGAAAGGACATTATAACACTGATGGCTTCTAGCCAGATGAGGTGGCATGTGCCCGTAGGCCCAGCTACTTGGAGGATGAGGGAATGAAAGTCTGAGGTCACCCTACGCTACACAGTAAAGCTTGAATCTTATAAAACAAAACAAAGCAGTAAAGCAAAACAAAGTGACATTTATGACATTGGAGGAGGAAGTAAATTGTATAAACTAATGGGAAGCAGTTTGTCAAAAGTAGTGGACGTTAGGGGAGAGCTCAGGCTTACCTCAGACACCTGCTTTGGAAATGGGTCCTGAAGAAAGACTATCACAGAATGAAAAAGCTATATTTGTGAAAATGTTATTATAACATTATTTGCAGTATCAAATGCCACAGATATTTGACAGAACTTAAGTAGTTAAATTATAGTAATCTATTTAATGAAATCTCATGCAACAAAGTAAAAGGTAGAGTCCTTACATGTTAACTAGGAAAAGTAATTAAATACTAAAAAGGAGAAAGTTGTATGTTATGCTTACAATACTGTCAAATGAGCTCTCCTTTGGATGTAGATTACAAAATGCACGCTGCATTACCAAGCTGGTAGAATTAAAGATGCCTCTTTCCGCTTCTATATTTTCCAGTGTGTATAGAGAAGAGCAGCTGCCATGTGGCAAGTCACTATTACGAGGCTGACTCTGTGTCTTGCAGTGCATTATCTCATTTTGGTTGCAGCTGCCCTTGGTGTTTCTCTCCCTGTTTGTCGAGAAAGGTGTGACTTAGAGAAGAGGCCTGGGATGATTCGAATGGTGGCATCAGAATCGGGTCTAAATCTGCCTACTCCCAAGAGCATGTTAGCCGCTGCCCCATACAGCTGGGCTGACCACTTCCTGGCAGGGCTGGAGGAAAGCCACAGAAGCAGGCAGAGCCTCTCTCACATTATAGTTGGTTTTTAAGATGGGGACACCACTAGCGACAGAACAGAAATAGAACAGCAGGAAACTAAGTTGCAAAAGAAAACTCTTGTCATGTTTAGAAAGATTCATATTAAAGTTAATTTCCATTCCATAGTGTGTGGAGTCTGTAATGTTAGCCTGTCATATAAAGTGTTCAATCAGAAGCCAAGAGCTTCACAATTGGATTTGGTAGGTTGTGATAAGGCAGAGGACAGGTGTGGACTGTGGGGGGTGTCTCTGAGTAGTACATGCAAGCTCTGTAGAACCATGTACTACTGAGAAGCACATGCCAGGAATGGCCTGCCCATCTTCTTTTGTTTGGACAGTCTGAGAAATATTACTGTAGTTCATAAGTAGGATCCAACTTAGGGATCACATTCCACTTTCTCTCGATGGCCTGGATCCCATGTGGAACGCCCCCTCTAATTTAATATTTCACAGCAGTTAGGGCCTAGGGTCCAAGACTCCTAGAAGAGATTACTGTATCAATTTCTTGGAAGGAAAGGGAACTACTGTCCAGTTCCACAGAAGTCACCAGTCATAGCCAAATCAAAGACAATGGAATGTTTATCCCCAAATAACTTGTTTATTTCCCAGTGAAACTTAACTGAGATCACTTGGAAACATCCATTCACTGTCCTCTTCTTACTGTCCATGCTAAAGCACTCAGTGGTTTAAAATGTTGTAGATCTTAAGTGAAATGCCAAAGGAATTATACCTTTCTTAAGGGCAAGAAGAGGAGGTTGGAGGTTGGGGGTCAGCCCTTTTTTTTTTAAGAATGGTCTCTCTCTCTCTTTTTTTTCAAGACAAGGTTTTTTTGTAGTTTTGGAGCCTGTCCTGGAGCTCACTCTGTAAACCAGGCTGGCCTTGAACTCACAGAGATCCGCCTGCCTCTGCCTCCAGAGTGCTAGGATTAAAGGTGTGTGCCACCACTGTGCAGCCAGATCAGATACTTAACAAGTCTCTTACTTAACAAGCCTAGTGTTGCTTTTGAAGATAAAAGTGTCTGACCAGAAACATGAGGGATGAGGTGGAAAGAGCAGTAGGACTGTAGCCTCTGGGTAGTGGGCAGTAGCTACAGAGAGATGCCACAGGAGCCCTGTCCCCAGTCTCCCAAGCTGAACCCCTAGTGCCACTGGTGGCCTCATTAAAAATGCAAGCTGAAGGGAAGGCAAGAAATGGCTTCGTGTTTTGAGGAAAATCTCTTTATACCTGGGCTCAAAAATAAGTTTTAGGTTTTGAGACCTTTAGTTAAAATTCAGGCTATCTTTTGGTAGTAAGCTTTGGTTGAACTTAAATCTAGCACAGAGGAGTACATTTGATCAGATATTCTACAACTTACGTATGATTCTGTGTCTGGGTCCAGCTGAGGAAGCTGCAGGGTTAGATGGTGCCTCTGTCACCAGCAGCTTCTGATGGAACTCTTGGACAGTCAATAGTTTCCCAGCCCCTCCTCTGTGGGGAAAGAGTGTCTCCAGGATACCGTCCTCTTCAGTTCAAGCCCCTCATGATGTCAGACAACTCTGCCTCTGATTGCCATGGGCTGGCTTCCACATGTGTGCTATTCCTCTTCAGTTCTGATCTATGTGCAGCTCTTGAAATGCATAGCACGTGGAAGGGATCTTAACTATCTTATGCAGAAGAATGGAAAGGAGAAGGCTTAAAAATGTAGAATTTTTAGAAATATTCATCTCTCTCAATATGCAAGTATTAGTGGCATACAGAGGGTAGAATGGCCTAGGAAGCTATAATCAACTTTAAAACTCTCATATTTGTTTATGATGAAACTACCTAAATCTGTTTAACAATTTTCAAAGTAATTAACTTTTAAAAGTACAAATTTTAATGATCAGTATTGAAGACAAGTGTTAGTGATGTTGTGCTAACAGACTAAGAATAGATGAGCATCGGGGGGCCAGGAGCCTCCTATGAAGTGCCTAATGAAGCCACCATAGAGGCCACTTGTACTGTCCCAGGTACTGGAAGGTGAGGTGGGAGCATCCTGGGAGCTTGAAAACAGCCCAAGCAACAGAGCAAATACTCCCATCTCAACAACAAAACAAAGCAAAGCCCTGTAGGCTGGTGACTGTAAACAATAATGCTGATTTCTCTAACATTATTTTTTGTTTTATATTTATTTAATCTTGGATGCTTGTTGTACACACAGAGGAAAATGAATCTTAGAGGACCATAACATTTTATAGCATATCTATTTGATCCTGACACTTGTTTTCCCAAATCCCTTTCCAAGGACCCAGGAGTTAGGTAAGGGGAAAGTGGAAAGCAAACATCTCTTGTGTGTTTGGGGAGAAGAGGTCAAATGTGTTAAAATATCGTTCTAGTTAGAACCATGTCCTACTTACTGGGCAGCGACTTTGCCAGTCACATGTGCATGCTGGTAAGAAGTACACTGTGATTTTCCTGTATTTTTAAATTCTTGTGATTTTTTTTTTGGTTGTTGTTAAGAACTCAGGCTAGGCAGCGGTGGTGAATGCCTTTAATCCTAGCACTTGGGAGGCAGGCAGGTTCTCTGAGTTCAAGGCCAGCCTAGTCTAGTGAGTTAAGTTCCAGGGCTACACAAAGAAACCCTGTCTCGGAAAACAAACAAAACGAAATAATTTTTTTTTACATTTTCAATATCAAAAATATCTTATGCACTTACTTACCACTTCAAAGAAAAAGTCCGTGGTGGAACCAGAACTAGAAAGATGGTTAGCTTTATAGTCTTCCATAACCCACGTCCGGTTCCTGCATCAGCCTTCCTCATCACGCACATTTAGCCTTCTTTTTCCCCTCTCCTATATGCTATAGTGTACCTACGTGGACATCTATTTACATATATACACATATTATAGGTTCCACATCTGAGAGAGAACACACTATTTCTGAGATTGTGTGACCTCACTTAATGTTATAGAGGTCCATAAACTTCCCTGTGTTTTTTAAAATTAATTTTTTCTTAGAGCTAAGCACTATTCTACACACACACACACACACACACACACACACACACACACACACCTCCCCCAAATCTTCATTATCCGTTCATCTGTTGATGGGCAACTAGGTTGGTTTCAATGCCTTGTTATATAGAATAAAATGGCAATAAATATAAGGGTGCAAATATCCCTGTGGAAGGTAGGGTATGAGTTCTTGGGTATATGTCCAGAAATAAAGTAACTAGGTCCTATGGTGATTCCTCTTTTAATTTTTTGAGAAATCTCCAGTTTCCTCAATGGCTGTATTAATTTGCACCTCCACCAACAGTAAACAGTGTTCCTTTCTCTCCACACCCTCTCCTACCTGGCTGTCAGATGTCCTGACAATAGTCATTCTGACTGGGATATCAAGTAGTTTTAGTCTAAATTTCTCTGATGAAGAGGGATACTGAATATTTTTAAAAATAGTTATTGACCATTGCGTTTATTTTAAGAAGCTATTAGTTTTTCCCCTTACTGATGGGCAGTTTTATTTCCTTGGTTAGATTTCTGCACTTCTTTGTAAATTCTGGATGTCAGTCCCTGTGTGAAGTGTGCTGGTAGAGATTTTCACCATGCTGTGGCTTATCTATTTGTCTGTTGATTGTTTCCTTTGCCTTACAGAAACTTTTAATTTTCATATCACTATGCCTTTCTTAATGGACAGAGTAAAATTAATTGGCTAAGATTTCATCCCTGAGGAAAAAATAATTGATACAAATGGGCATAAAGGTCATGCAATCAATGTGGTTAACATTGGACAGAAGCACATAGACCTACAGTACTGTATTAAAAAGCATGGATGAGGGCTAGGAATGCAGCTCAGTTGGTACAATGCTGGCCTAGGTGTGATCCTCATCACCACATAAAATGACATGATGTCACATGCATGTAAGCCCAGCACTGAGAAAGTGGAGACAAGGAGGACCAGAAGGTCATGTTTGGCCATGTACTGTGTTCAAGGCCAGCCTGGGCTACATGAAACCGGGTCTCAAAACAAAACAAACACATATAGTGTATTGAATAACATACATTAGGATAGTGGCATATGAATCATGAGGTACAAGTAAAGCCTCTAGAACCTCAGTCTAGGCCCGTCTCATTTTCTTATGAACCACTGATCAGACTCTGGGGATGAAGAGAAGGGTATTCCAGTGCTTGAACACAATACTGTGGCATGTTCCACACAGATTCTGAGCCACCCTGCTTCTCGAACATCATTTATCATCCAGTTCACACAATATCCCTTAAATATGGAGCTGAATTTCTAGGACTACATTGAGCAGAATGCATTTGGAATCTGAAAGTACTCCACCTGGGCAGTTCACAGCCTTCGATGAGAGAAGTTAGCCATTGAATGCTAAGGACTTTGTGAGTGTTGAAATTGTGCTTTACAGTAATATACACATACCACCTGGTCTTACCATAAGTCTTCAACGCTATAGTCTTCAGGAAAATGGCAAGTATACTGTGCTAGCTGACATACTTTGGGGGCCTTTTTGCTTTTTTTTTAAAATGTGGTTTTAGATGAATGGCCCAGCTTGCTTTCAAAGTACAGAGTAAGTTAATTCCATCAAAGCCTTTTACTCAAACAGTGTTTCTGAAGTTGTTAGGGTGTGAGGCTGGGCCCTGGCAGCCCTAACAAGCTGACCACCCATCCTCAGTAGGCCAATTAAGCAAAAAAGTAATAGTGAAAGCAGAGAAAGGAGATTTATTCAGTGTGGTCACACTGGGAGGAAGATCAAAGAGGTCTTGTGCCCCTCCCCACAATGTCTGTGAACCTTAGCATGAGGTTTATGCTTAAACAGAAGTAGCCAGGTACACATAGCAGCTACACATGGCTAAGCAGGTAATCCCCAAAGCAAGCTGGCCAGCCACGCTAGCTGAAATGGCCAGGTTCAGCAAAACACCCCGCCTCAATAAATTGTGTGTGTGTGTGTGTGTGTGTGTGTGTGTGTGTGTGTGTGTGTGTGTGTGGAGGCAATCAAGAAAACATTTGATGTCAATGCCTAGTCTCCACACACTTGTGTACCCACACATATGCAAACATGCACCCACACATGTATGCCACACATAATACTAAAAAATATAGAAACATGTGATCAGACACAGAAGATCCATTGTATTATACCCCCAAAATAACAACCAAACTGAAGAAAAACAACTAAATATCTATTATGGGGACTGGCTGAGGAAATAATGGCAATACTTACCCAATGTGGTTTGAGACAAACATTAAAAATGCTAGGTGAGGAGCTGGTTAAGAGCACATCCTCCTCCTCCTCCAGAGGACCTGAGTTCAGCTCCCAAGACCAGTGTCAGGTGGCTTACATCTGTTGTAACTCCAGCTCCAGGGATGACACCTCTGGACTCCAGGGGCACCTGCACTTATCCCACATAGATACCTGCACACAAACACATAATTAAAAAGATAAATCTTTTTTTTAAAAAAATGTTGTGTTAGCTCCACCTCCAGAATTAAAAGTAGACAGTGAAGCTCAGGGGACTTTCTGGAGCCACTCAGGGGAGGCCCAGCAGAAAGTTGTGAACAGAGACCTCATTCTGAGAGCCTTGTATGACTTTGTTGTTTGTTTGTGTGTTGACATATTGTTTATGATTTATTAAAGTCACTGGAGATCAGAATAGCAAAGCAGCCATACTAGTTAGTCATAGAAGCTAGGCACACACCTTTAATCTGGCTAGGACTCAGGGTTAAGAGGTAGACCGTTCTCTGACTCCAGGACCACCCTGGGCAACTGGAGAGTGAATCAGAGCTCATACCTTTAATCCCAGGATTTGAGGGGTATAAAATGTAGAGGTGTTCAGTCTTAGGATTGTTCTCCAGCCACATTGAGAGGCAGAAGTCTGAGGTTTGGTGAGAACTCGTGGAGACAGGATCAGCCCTCTCAGCCTAAGGTAGAGATAGGATGTAGTGGCTGGCTGCTTTGCTTCTCTGATCTTCAGCTTGAAGCTTGAACCCCGATATCTGTCTCTGGGTCTTTTATTTATTGTGCTACAGTTTGTTTGTTCTAAGATAGGGTCTCTCTGTGTAGTCTTGGCACTCATTGTGTAAACTAGGCAGACCTTGAACACACAAAGATTTCCTTTACTCTGCCTCTTTTGTGCTGGGATTAACGATGTACACCACCACACTTGGCATTGGTGTGACCTTTTTAATGCCCAGTGTCATATTTTTGTTTGTCTTTCAGTTGCCTCCCTCCTTGTCCTGTTTCCATAGAGAATTCCACCAGACCTTTGTAACCTTGGACAGGACATCCTTCTCCATCCCATATAAGGCAGGAACCCTACCTAGCACTGGGCAGAAGCAAAAGGAATACCACTGAAGTCTGAGTAATAAACACTGGTGCCCATTAGAAGGATTTTTGTTTTTAATATTGTAGGCTAAGTGAAACTCCAACCATGGGTGCAAAACTCCATCAAGTAAGTGGAAAACGTAAAAAAGACTTCTAGACAGCCGGGCGGTGGTGGCACACGCCTTTAATCCCAGCACTCGGTAGGCAGAGGCAGGAGGATCTCTGTGAGTTTGAGGCCGGGCTGGACCGATAGCCTCCAAAACAATACAGAGAAACCCTGTCTCGCAAAAACCAAAAAAAAGACTTCTAGACATAAAAAGCATATTTTGAAAAGATCTGATTCCACTTATTTCCTATGTTGGTTTCTCTTTTTACCAGGGCACTGTAACCTGCTCAGTAGCTTGACTTTGCCCAGTCTTAGCTGTGGAGAATCAGAGGCTAAGGTGGGCGTGGGGGTGGGGTTCAGGGTGCTTTCAACCTCCTCCTCCTGTCATTCAGGCCACAGCCAGTTTCCACTGTTTTCTGCTTCCTCTTCTGTGCTCTTAGTTTTGATTTTCCCACATCATGTTTTGAGCCTCCTTTCATAAAAGCCTGTGTGCGTGCTGCCTGCTCTGTCCAACCAGTCGATTGTAATTTCTAACTAAAGCCCCGTATCTGCACATCAGTGGCCTGTTTGACTCACTTGAGTGTTTTAAGGTACCTGAATCATTTGACCTTGGAAGCAAATGTATGTATATATGTTACCCCTTAAATTATCATTTAATACGTATGTTAGGGATAGACCAATGACTATGAAAATCTAGTAGGGGAATGTGAGATGGGAATGATGGAAAGACAATGACATTTGTTTGTGGGAGGAGAAAGGAAAATCACATGAAACTTTTTAACAGTACAGGGTAGTTTCCTCTCTGTTTTTCTCATTTCTATCTGCTAATTGAGATGTCAGTCAGCTCATAATGATAGCCCAATTGAGGGACTGTTGACTATGGATGTTGTATCTTTCAGCTGTGTTGGTGAAGAACAGGTTGCTATAGGAGCCAGCCCAGGGATGTCTGCTTCCTACTGTGAACATCCTGTGTGGTCCCTTCCCCCAAAGATGTGATGTTTCCTAACTTCCAGTTTGGTCATGACAGGCTGCAGGCTTTGTGTTGGATTGTGTGTTCTGGATCTCTTATTTCACATTACCCTCCTTGGCCTACCAGGAACCCCACGGACTGGGAAGGGCTGGGTTCTCCCAAGACTCCTGAGTACACCTGGAAGTGGATTTCAGCAGCCACCCAGTCCAGTCTGACCCCCTGCCTAGTGAAAGACTTGAGCCCCTTGGCTAAACTATTTCCTAATTTTGACCAACAGAGACCACTAGGGAGTAGATGCTTTAGGTTTCTAAGTTTGATGTGATTTTATTGCTAGCGGTAGATAACCAAACCAATGGTAAACAGCTGCATTAGACCAAGATTAAATTAATTTTGCTTTGGAAGAACTGTCATTGAAGCTATCCTGAAGCTTTGGGACTGCAGCTTGGTTTTGTTGTTGTTGTTTTAAGTGTAATTTCACCTAATTATGAAACAGTGGTTGAATGGTTGAATCAGATTACTATTAATGTAAGATTACATTCTCAATTTATTTTCTATGTTGCTTTTAAAAGTTTTGATTGGTCTGGCAGTGTAGCTCAGTTAGTAGAGTGCTTGTCTAGCCCATGTAAAGTGACATGCCATCCCAGCACTCCTGAGACCCAAGCAGGAGAATCAGAGATTTAAAGTCATCCTCAACAACATGATGCATTTGAGGCCACTAGCCTGGGGTACACAAGACTACCTCAAAATAAATAAACAAATGAACGAAAGCTTGAAAGTGATAAAGCTACAGCTATGTATTTCATTTTTATGGCTAGAGCAAAAAACCAGCCAGCCGGTTTTTAAACTGACATAGGGCCACCTAAGTGCAAGGAATTGGATTATGACTCCTTGTATTTTTATAAGCAAACAGGTTGAAATGTAAATTTTCAGGGCTTAGGAATAAAATAAAAAGTAAGTAAAGTTAAAGAAATTAGGTTTCCAGAGGAGTTGCTGAACTTGTATGCTAGAACACACGCGCGCGCGCGCACACACACACACACACACACACACACACACACACGTTTTCTTCCTTTCTTCATTTTGGAAAGCTTCTTCATTTGGTGTACCTTTTAATTTATGACTTCATTTTGCTCACCTTCTTCTTTACATACTGATTATGAGAGAAAACTCGGCTGAGTATCTGGTCTTAGGTTAGCCTGCCCCCTTAGTTATTGTTAGTTGTTCATCATTTCTTAGTTTCTCCTTTCATTTTTCCTTCCAACACCACTGTAGTGGTCTTCATTTATGATATCCCTGACGATGACTTTAAGAATTAAAGAGAAAGAACATCATGTTTTCATTTCAAGCCCCTGCACAGGTCGTTTAAGAAGGCCTAAGAGTTTAAGCCTGAGGTTGTAAAACGGTGGTTGAGTTTAAAGCCGGCTCCCAGGTGGATGTGTTTTATTTGGCCTGTATTATGTTGTCTCACACAGAGTTCTTTTAAAACATAAAGTTGCTGACACTTAAAGGGCAAGGGACTTCATATTTTAGAAGGTTCTAACAACAGAATGCCCATATTCTTGCACAGCCACACAAGACTAAGGTTGGGAACCTCTGTCACTTATAGATAGAGGCTTTCCCCTTCTCCATTGCTTCCAAGTGTCCTGATTTTCTTACTTCTTCGGGCTTTCCTGAACCCTGTAGGCACTGAGTTTACTCACGGATTTAAACAGATAACTTCTCAATGCATAATTAAGAAGTAAAATGGAGGGTTTAGGGTATAGCCCTGTGTTTCCCAGATGGGTAAGACAGACCTCTGATGTCTTTTCCCCTCCAGCAGCAATGCCGGCAGGGAGAACAGCCTTTTTCTAAGTTAAACACACAAAACTAGAGATTTGAAGTGAGGGTCCTGTGCTGGCTGGTTTTATGTCAACTTGACACAGCTAGAGTTATTTGAAAGGAGAGAACCTCCACTGAGAAAATGCCTCCATAAGATCCAGCTATAGGACTTTTCTTACTTAGTGATTGGTGGGGGGGTGGGCAATCCATTGTAGGTGGTGCCACTCTTGTGCTGGTGGTCTTGGGTTCTATAAGAAAGCAGACTGAGCAAGCCATAATGAGCAAGCCAGTAAGCAGCACCCTCCATGGCCTCTGCATCAGCTCCTTCTCTGTTTGGGTTTCTGTCCTGAATTACTTCAATGATGAACTGTGATGTGGAAATGTAAACCAAAGAAATCCTTTCCTCTCTAAGTTGCTTTAGTCATGCTGTTTCATTACAGCAATAGTAACCCTAACTGAGACAGTCCATATATGAGAGAGAATATACGGTGTTGTGTTTTGTTTTTGAAACAGGGTCTCACTATGTAGACCAGGCTGGCTTTAAACTCACAGAAGTTCACTTGCTACTGTCTCCCAAGTGCTAGATAGGATTAAAGGTTTGTGCCATGAGGCCTGGTGGGAGATGTTTGCTTTTATATGTCTGGATTACTTTAATAAATATATTTTTCCAATCTCATACATTAACCTAAAATTCTAATAAAATTATGTTTTGTATATGTGTCATAGTTTCATTATCCATTCATCAGTGGATAGAGTTCTAGGATGCTTCTGTTTCCCAGCTATCATGTATAAAATGGAAATAAGCAGGGTTTCATGCAGTCTAGTCTGGTCTCAGACTTGCTATGGAGCCAAGTATGACTAATTGTCATACATACCCTCCTAAATTCTGCATTACAGGAATGGACTACCATACCAAGCCTCCCATGTACTTTTGAAATGTAGCTATATACACTCTTAATCTGTTGTTGAACAGTGTAAGGTTATGTCACATATTATGTAATAAAAGATGCTTATAAATTAGTTTTAAAGATTAGTTAAAAACTGAAATGAGGAATATGAGGGATATAGACAGTAGAGTTGGGGGAGGGGTAGAGTAATGAAAGATATATCTTGATTGAGGGGGCCATTATGGTGTTAGGGAAAAACCTGGTGCCAGGGAAATCTCCCAGGACCCACAAGAATGACTCCAGCTAAGACTCCTAGCAATAGTGGAGAGGGTACCTGAATTGACCTTTCCCTGTAGTCAGATTTGTGACTACCCTAATTGTCATGATAGAGCCTTTATCTACTAACTGATGGAAACTACAGAGATCCACAGCCAAGCACTGGGCTGAGCTCTGGAAGTCCTGAGGAAGAGAATGGGAGGGATTATATGAACAAGGGGGATCAAGATCATCGTCAGGAAACCCACACAGGCTGACCTGAGCGTGTGAGAGCTCACAGACCCTGGACCGACCTAGACTTTCTGCATCTGGGTGACAGTTGTGTAGCTTGACTTTTTGTGGGGCTCCTAGCAGTGGGCCCAGGACCTGTCCCTGATGTATGAGCTGGCTCTTTGGAACCTATTCCCTATGGCCGGATACCTTGTTCAGCCTTGATGCAGAGGGGGAGGAGCTTCAATTTGATATGCTGTGCTTTGTGGACTCCCACGGGGGGCCTTACCCCTTCTGAATGGAGACAGACTGAGGAGTGGGTGGGGAGGGTAGAAGGGAGGTGGGGGGAGGGAATGAGAAGAGAGGGGAAACTCGTTGATATTTAAAATAAATAATTAAAAAACTTAACATGAGGCTGAGATAGTTTCAGGTACTGAAGATGAATTTCTTGGCTACTCTTAAAAAGTTAATTGATTTTTTGAGATAAGGTCTTACTGTGTAGCTCTGAGGGACTTGGGACTCATTATGTAGACCAGGCTAGCATGGAATTCACAGAAACTGCCTGCTTCTGCCTCCTGAGTGCTAGGGTTAAAAGCATTTGCCACCACATCTGGCCTACTTTTCTTTAATTTTTGAAACAGCCCTCAGTGAGCATCTGTGTACACACCAACCATCGCTTTCCTAAGCATGTTAATTGAACATCCACAAGCTGGCTCCTAAAGTTTTAAAATGAGCTCCCTGAGGAGACATGACTTGGCAGTTAAGAGTACTGACTGCTACTCTAGAGGACCTGGGTTTGAGTGCTAGCAACCACAGTGAGACTCCGGTCTCAGGAGACTGTCAGGCAGGAAAGTAAAGGAGAAGGGGGAAAAGGAGAAGGCCGCAGCTGGCAAGCACTTGCTGGGATGAAGCCACTGTGCACATTTCCTTGGATGTGCAACAGACCCAAGGCCTGGCTCTGCCCTGTGCCTGTTCCTGCATTCATCTGGAGCGAGTTCTTGTCTACAGCAAGGTTTTGTTCTGTTTACTTCCTCCAAGTCAGCCAGATTTCCAGCCAGTGGGAAACACTCTCTGAACACTTGGCAAGTGAAGGCAGATGGGGACATATGGATATACAGCAAGCATAGGACAGGAAAGAATTGTATCTGGATGTTTCTAGCTGTAGGTTATAGAACATTGGCCACAGTGACTTAAGCAATCAGAACTTAATATATATATGTCAGATGACATAACGTTCCGAGTCAGGATAGTTCCAAGCTGAACAGTGTCATGGAGGACCTGGATGTTTTCATTTTTGTACTCAGCCATCCTCAAAATATTGGTGATGTCTTCCACAGGATGAGGGTAGGCATTTCAGATGTCCTTTGCAGGTATGGCCATACCCAGTGAAGGAACAGCGCTCTTTGCTACTGTGAATATTATTCTACTGGAGAACAACTTTCTACAAAGCTTCAACTCAGGTCCTTTTGGTCAAGATGCACTCACAGTTCCATGCCCTTGCCGACAAGTATGATGGGTATACACGTGGTCACTAGCTCGACACACCAGGAGATAGTAATTGGGAAAAGGAGGAAGATATACCATTGAAAATAAGTGGGGTTGAAGGCAGGGGGTGTCACATTCTCAGGCTACTGTGTCCTCACCTGGGGAAGGGCAGCTAATAGAGACCGCATGTGTGAAGGTCATAGATCAGTATTATTTCTAAGGAGCACTGTGTGGCATTCAGGGGTATATCTCAGCACTGTGGGGCCATATGCATTTACTGATGGGAAGGATGCGAGAATAAAAGCACCAAGTTGCTGGGACTAGTGGAGGTCCACGGGCACTCCCACTCTCCCATCAGTTAACAGCACTCACAGCCCTGCTCTGGAGAGGCCGCAGAGCAGCAGAGGGTGGAGCCAGGAAACTTGTCAGGACACGGTGCTTTCTTATTTACTAACCAGTCAGCATTAGGGTGATGGAGCATTTGTTACTCCGACAACCATTCCATGAGAAAATATATACACACCATAAAAGAGGTGTCTTGTAGGAAGACCCTTAAGTTTTTGTTGTTAATGGCTTATTTATTTATCTGGGGATGGTTTGATATTTCCTTTAAAGAATTGAAGTTCACTGCGTGTTCTTTACCCCTAGAAACTGAACGAGAGTGAAAACACAGAAGTGAACTAATCTTTCTACTTTCTTTAGATAAATGTTTGGCCCATTGTCTTAGTTTCTTTCCTGTTGCTGTGAAAACTGCTGTAAGGGAGACAGGGTTTATTTGGTTCACAATTCCAGGTTTCAGCTCATCAGGGCAGGGACGTCACAGTGGTAGGGACTTGAGAGAACTGGTCACATTACATGCATAGTCAAGAGCAGAGAAGAATGAATGAGGTCACCCATGGTACCTCTCAGTTTGCAGTCTCAGTCTTATGGAGCCTAGGGTCTCCCTACTCAGAGAACAGTATTGTCCATAATCAAAGTAGGTCTTCCCGCAGTAATTGACTTAAGACAATCCTTCTCCAACATTCTGAGGCTACCTTAGTCTAAACAATCCCTCATAGGTGTGCCTGGAGGTCTACTCCTGGGTGTCAGGTTGACAGTAGTTACCATCTTGCCCATTATATTCCAGTAGGCACATGTAGAATTTGTATTACCATATGGCACCTGTATAAGTTGGGTTGGTCGAATCTGCCAGGAGTCTGTTAATTAACAAGAAATTTGAGTGTTGTATTTAGAAAGGACACACACACTGTACTTTATATTCTCTTCCATTTCCCTTGAGTGGGTGGGTGTGGGACAGAAGCAGGGCTTGCCTTCTGGGCCTGCTGTCCTGTCTGGCTTCTGGTGGATAGAGTAGCAGATACTTCTGAGGGACCTGTTACATTGCTGTGTGATACCCAAGTCTGTTTGACATTATGTTTGTAAAGAAAGATTCCTCTTGTTTCCCCAGGGTTTTGAGATGGCATATAAACTTCACATTTATATCATATTACATACTAGATTATTTTTAAAATTAAAGCATTTGCTAATGAATGTAGTGTTAATTTGCAGTGTCACAGGCTCTAGAATTCAATGAGCCTGGCACATGTTAACCTTCCATTAATACTTGTTTAATGAAAGAATTAATAAAGTGATTAAACATCATTGAGACTTCTAAGATAATTATGATAATTTAAGGGAAACAAATTATAGACACTAACCTGTATTTGCTAACATAAGTTTCTTTTAGAAAATGTAGTATTACCAATCTTTTGAAAAAGTATCTTCAAATTAAAGACTAAAGTGACACGGTCAATAGCCATTTTAGCTTGACAATTAGGACATCTCTCTCTCTCTCTCTCTCTCTCTCTATATATATATATATATATGGCACAAGTAATATGGGGAAACACAAAGATAATTTAGAAGGAAGAGACTTGAGATATGGTGTGTGTGATTCCATGAGACCACACATACATCAGGGCTGAAATGTGTTACTGAACAGAGCCTCCTGCTTCTCAAGTGGCATTTATTGTATGTGCATTATAAGGTTCTGCCTCAACACTTCTCATTCTCTGAAATGTAAAATTATTATTTTGTAGCTGCTGTTCTTGGACCTATAAGTAAATCAACATGTATATTCAAAAGATATTTGTTTGCTCTCTGTATAACATGGTAAATATAAATTTATCCCCTTATCTAAATATTAATACTTACATATAAAAGTATGTTGATAAGTTTTAAACCTCATTTTTGAAAGTATTTTAGCATATAATGAAAATACAGCCTTTTATTTTATAAAAATATTTTAGAAAATCTTTTCGAAGTATTAGAAGGTGAAGGGAATTTAAAAATTGACATTATTGGTCCATGATTCACGCTAATGTTTACTCATGGAAATAGAACAAAATACTGCCTAATTAGTGTGGTGGTAAATTTTTGGTACTTTAATTTTCTCTGTTATTGTAAACCATGCATAAAATGCTTGCCTATTGAGAAGTGCAGAATTGCCTGAGCTTAAACAGCTGACATCTGCTTACTCTCTTAAAAAAAAAAAAAAAGGATAACAAGCCATTTCAGCCTAATCTACCTCAAATGTGTTCATGTAAATGGAGGTCCATCTATTGACCTGGGTTCTTTTCAGCTCAGGATTGGTCCACATGGTTTATGAAACCAGAAAGGCTGATTTGAAATGCAGATGTCGAGAGAGTGAAGTACACCCTCCCCTTTTTTCTTTGCTGTATCTGTCAGGGTGAAAGATGGCTTGTACAAGGGTCAGTCACCCATACTCACTTAATTACTTTTCTTGGACCCACAGAACTGTCACAAGCTGTGGTGGATGCGGGAGCTGTTCCTCTTTTAGTGCTCTGTATCCAGGAGCCAGAAATTGCTTTGAAAAGGATTGCTGCCTCGGCCCTCGGTGATATTTCAAAGCATTCTCCCGAGTTAGCACAGACGGTGGTGGATGTAGGAGCTATTGCTCACTTAGCCCAGATGATCCTCAACCCTGATGAAAAATTGAAGGTATTTAAAACTGAGGTCAAGAGACAACAGGCAAGCCAGTGTTGTTACAATCCAAGAAAATGAAGATGTGTACAGACTAATGTTACACAGAAAAACAATTAGCAAATAGCATTGAAAGCAGATACAAATACATTGTGTCTTGGGTCTTTTAACATGTGGAAATAATGCTTTGGCTGTCACATTTAAGATGTTATTTGGAAATCTGTGTGCAATGCTGAAGACTCCAGGTAGCATGAGTTTTAACATTAATAATTAAAATAAGGCATTGGTCTGGCCAAAATATATGTTAGGAGACCCCTAGACTTAAAACAAGGACCTAAAGATTTTCTAGTCCATCGCTAGAATATTTGAATTTCTTATGAAATTTTCATGTTTTTTTAGTCCTCTGTTAGTTTTTTAAATTCACCAATTATGCAACTGTATACATATATGTATATTAATTGTTAACATTAAGTGATGGGAATTTCTTTGACATGGTACCACCATCATGCAATAAAGACATTAATTCTGCTTGTTATTGTACTACATACCACACATATCATAAATTAGCAACCTATGTACTGTGTAATAGTACTTTTTACCTAAAGGTCTTGCATTTTAATCACCTCTAAAAGGCTTTGAAGTACTCAGTAGAGAATTAATGGGGATATCTAAAAATCTTATTTTGAGACTAGTACGTGAAAGTCTCAATGCTCAGAAATCTTAGATTGTGCTAAATATCTATGTAGCTCTCCCCCATAAAGAAATTTGAGTATTATAAAGCTGTTTAAGTTACATCTGAACTCGGAGGTGGATTAGTGGACTCTGTGTAGTGTTTTGTTTTACCTATTTATGTTTCTGCTTATCAGCACCAGGTCCTGTCAGCTCTCAGTCACATTGCAAAGCACTCTGTGGACCTGGCAGAGATGGTTGTTGAAGCAGAGATTTTCCCGGTTGTACTTACCTGTCTGAAGGACAAAGATGAATATGTGAAGAAAAACGCTTGCACTTTAATTAGAGAGATCGCGAAGCATACTCCTGAGGTAAAAGCAAAACAAAAAAGCAGAGTCTCCAGGGTGCAGTTACACTTAGTTTCAGAGTTTTAAATAAAACACCAATCTGTTCATGAGGTCTGAGGCTTGCTCCATGCCCTCTAACTAGGTTATTGCTCCTCGTCCTCAGCACTGCAGACATTTTGGATGACTTGACTGTCTGTAAATTGTAGAGTGGATATTCACCAGTGTTCCTGGGCTCTGCCCACTTGAGGGCATCACTGTCCCTTCCCCCCAAATAATGGCAATAAAAACTGACTCCACACATTGTCAAACATTCTCTAGGGTGCAAATCACCTCCATTTGAGAAGCACTGAATTGTATTAATGACATTCGAGTTTGAAATCCAGTTTCTAATCGTTGCTGGCCTTCCATTTCTAGATTGTGTGGACTATGAACCTCTGTCATCCTTATCATGTCATGACAGCTGGGAGCAGTGAGAATGATATTGCATCTGGAGGTTGGGACAGACCACAGGGGCTCCCTGGCCCACTGTGACACTCTGATAGCTAGCCGCTGTAATACAATTTTCTGCCCTGAGTTTTAGGTGTGTGGGAAAGAGAGGCAAAGCAAGCCTATGTCGGAGTTTGAGGTTGAGACGACTTTGCTTGTTTATATTTTGACTAATCTATTTTCATTGTAATACATGTTACAGTCCCCGTTCCTATTTCATCTGTCTGTTTGTAGTTGAGATTTTCCAAGAACAGAAGGGCACCCAGCCAGTAATCACCGCTAGTGTGTGGGGTAATTAGGTGGGATATCTTTGGGCACTGAATCATTTTAACACTAATGCACTGTGACTGGGCACTTCTGTAGTTAGCCAGGTATGAATGAACCCCCAGCTTAGTGTCTAAGTGAAGACTTCTAAAATTCCTTACAATAGGAATAAAAGTTGTATATATTTTTAAAATCACAAAATAAACTTTTCCACTGTGAATATTTGAGCATTTGAAATGATGGGATTATGCTGGGCGGTGGTGGCGCAAGCCTTTAATCCCAGCACTCGGGAGGCAGAGGCAGGCGGATCTCTGTGAGTTCGAGACCAGCCTGGTCTACCATAGCTAGTGCCAGGACAGCCTCCAAAGCCACAGAGAAACCCTGTCTCAAAAAACCAAAAGAAAAAAAATAAAGGATTCTTATACTTGAACATTTCTTTAATAAATTCAGTAATTTCTTTGAGTGGTATTTCTATTTTACCAGGTATTTTAAGTCCTACATAAAATGTGGCCAGGTCATATTTAAAGGCCTCTTCTTTTTTTTCAGCTCTCGCAGCTGATCGTCAATGCAGGAGGCGTGGCTGCAGTGATCGACTGCATTGAGTCCTGCAAAGGGAACATCCGGCTGCCTGGCATCATGATGCTGGGCTACGTGGCTGCTCATTCTGAGAACCTGGCCATGGCCGTGATCATCTCCAAGGTTGCTGCTTGCTTCGTTTCTCCTAGCCATTGTGGTAGGACATGCTAAGACAGCCATAGGCTGACACCAAAGAGGAGCAGCGAAAGAATTGCCTCCATGTTGTTTCATTGCTAATGCCAGTATTTATTGGTTTGTTTTCCAGGGGGATCTTTAACAAAAGGTGTAAGTTACAGAAAATGTACAGCTTTCCACATTACTGTAATCTGTCTTTAAATATATATATGCATATATATACATATATATATCTTGAAGGATTGATTGTGCATACATGCAAAAGCACACTATAGTTGAAAACATCATTTAAATGACTTTCCCACTTATCACTTTCACGCACCTCAGAGGTCTGGGTATTCCTCCTGTTCCTGTCATTTGGATAAGGAGATGGTGCTGGCTAGTTCTCATTCAGATGTAGTCAATCAATCAGAGGGCACAGCTGATGGCAGAATTTTTGTTATTTCATGTTCTGGGATTTAAACCTTTTTTCAATTACAGCTTTGTAGGAATCCACCCTATAGTTAGCCTTGGCCCATAGTAGGTGCTCACAAAATATGTTGGTATATAGACATGGGTTTCCTGAAGACCACTTCAAAGACTATGTGCTCACACTGTGTGTGCAGCCCTCTAGGGGGTAGGGTTCTTATCAGCATAGAAAACCTGCTGCTGCTTGTTAAGCAGAAATGGGGATCTTTTTTCCCTTGCTAACCCTCAGGGTACAGAGGAGCCCACGCTCTTGGTTTCTTCCCTATTCCACAGGGATGCTCTGTGGTACTGAGCTCTCCCATCCTGCCTGTCTTTTGTTCTCTGTCGCTACAGACGGCAGCGATGACTAGAGCAGTGCCAGTGCATTTGCAGGGGTCATTAGGGACGTGTTTGGGATTTGGTCCTTGACTCCTTTGTCAGGAAGATTCCTCATCAGAAGAACGAAGAGCGCAGTGGCAGTTGCTTGCCTTTTTGAATCTGGCCAGGACACTCTCTTTGGTGGAGGGCTGCTGCCGGTCTCTCCCGGTGTCTGAGGCAAACTGCACAGCAGTGAGGCATTTTCTCCGTGTCCTCTGAGGTGCCTCAGGAACCAGTCGATAATGTGGACTGTTTGTGGCAGGCACTCTGCTACCTCTGCAGCAGGCATGCTCCTGGGCTCATTTGAGTATTCACAGTTGGGGCCAGTAGTGGGAACATGGGGTGAGGTGCAAGGACCATTTGCTGCTCCTCAATTCATTCCGTCTTCCTCAATCTTACGTCCTACACACATGGGTCTTTACAAAGTTACTCCACCCCTGCAGCTGTGACCTTTTCTATTGTGGACACACCATTTTAGTGCTTGGAAAAGGGCAGACATGGAAACATGGTAAGTGTCACAAAACCTGATGCAGAGGTGGGTGGGGCAAAGAAAAAATTAAAAGACATGGGGAAGGCATATATGATGGTCTTGACCTTTGCCACGGCAGCATGAACATGTGATACTGGTTCTTGCAGCATTAATTTTGAAACAATTACTATCATCTCAAACTAGCTAAAAAATTATCTCTGTACAAAATCTAGAATTAAAATTTAATATGTTTATTTGATTCTTCCTTAGGTATATAAACTGTTTTTTTTTGAGACCTTTGATGATAATGTTTTTATTATTTAAATAAAATTCGAGTCTAAAACGCAAAATGCACACATATGCCACCTGTGTAACAAAAGCAGCCTGGCCATATTCACGCCGTGAAAGCAGCAGAGCTGTCATTACAAAGCCGACCAAAACCACTGGAAAAGTCTGTGTATTTCAGGAGCTATTATGCTAGTGGAGTATGTTCCGTGTAAAGGGCACTTAGAGTGGCTTCATATCCATTTGATCTTTGTTTGGTGTAGTTATTTGATTTTCAGATTGCTGTACTTGGGGCGCACATGTAGCTGAGGGCTGAACCGAGGGCTGTCCTCAGTCTTTACTCTTAAACAAAGGAAAATAAATGTTCAGATCCTACACATTTCAGTTTGTCACCATAAAACGGTTTTGCCTGGACGGAGGCTTTCCTGTTGTTTGCTTCAATGTTCCTCTGTTTGGGGGGTAGAAGCTAGTAGAGACATCCTTACTCAAGCTGGATTGTTACAGGTAATTAAGGCAGTTTAGTTCTAGTCATTTTATTGACTTCAGAAATGACTGCCCTTGTGATGTGCACATTTATCGAACCATTTAGGAAGAAAAAGAGATCAAGGCTGGAGTGATTTCTTCTAATGCCCGAGAGACACAGAGGCTCTTTAATTCCGCTCTACATTTAGAACCCTTGCTCTTTTGATCCCCACTGCAGGGTGTGCCCCAGTTGTCAGCCTGCCTGTCAGAGGAACCGGAAGATCATATTAAAGCCGCGGCAGCCTGGGCTCTAGGACAGGTTGGGAGACACACTCCGGAGCACGCACGGGCTGTTGCCCTCACAAACGTTCTGCCAGTGCTGCTGGCTTTGTACCTGTCTACAGAGAGCTCTGAGGACCTGCAGGTGAAAGTAAGGGCTGCTTTGAACTGGCTTGGGCGAGACTGGGTAGATGCTAACTTAGTCTTTACAACATGTGATCCAAATATTTAAATACTTTGATTTTTGATGGACTGTGTTACTTTTCTGAGTCAGAAAAAATACAAATCTGCCAGAAGAATGGGTAACTCATCTCTGGAAACTGGTTACCCTTGTCTCAACAGTTAGTGATGTATTCTCAAGGAAATCTTGTACAGAAAACAATTGGTTGTGAAGTGGATGTCATGTGCATTCTATATTACTGTTGACATTTTCTGTGAAATAGCAATGGGAGAATAATACAATTTTTGAATTTGGATTTGCTAGGGAGTACTCTGTCCCATTTACTTTTAAAAAACAAAGTCTAACAGAATTTAAGTTGCTCTTCAGAGACGTAACTAGTAAGAGAATATTCCTGAAGCTTTAATTTACTTCTTCTAACTTCAAGGATGCCTGATCTTTCAATTGTCTTATTTCTTTTTAAAATGTGTATAAGGTACATTAAAGTAAATATTCTTGAATCTTGTATTTTTTAAAAGGCAAGTTTTATAAGAAAACTATTACTGGCTATCAAGGTGGTTCAGAAACATAGACTACTTAATAATTCTAAAATTTTAAAGAAATATTTTATAGCATACATACTAGGAAAATATGGAGGTCTTTGAACTGATGGGGGACATTGACATCAAGGAAGTAATTCAAAATAAGCTGACCATGGCCAACTGGATGGCTTAGGGGGTAAGGTGGGCACTGCTTGCTACCCCTCATGGCCTGAGTTTAATCCCCAGGACTCACATGGTGTAAGAAGAGACTCTGAATCAGGCCACGACACTTACTGAGCCCCACACACTTGCTGCAGGCACAAGCTCACACCCCCACCCCACTAGATAAATAAATAAATGTAATTAAAACCCCAAATAAAATCAATAATAGTAGAGTGCATGAAAGTTTAATTAGATAGATAAATTAATGAGCAGTAAAACATATTTACTGAACGTAACTTTGGATGACAAGGTAGGAAGTTCTCACATTTTTATGAAAGTAAGTTTATCTAGTTATATTTATATGCTAAGTTTTATAAACTGATTTCCAAAAGTAAGATTTTTCTTAGTAGTTGTAACATTTACCAGATCAAATCAATGGTTTAGAGCTGGGATTAGTGGCTCATGCCTTTTACTCCAGCCCACAAGAGGCAGAGGCACTCAGATCTCTGTGAGTTCAAGGCCAGCCTGATGTACATAGTAAGTTCCATGACAGCTAGGGTGACACAGAGAAACTGTCGTTAAAAAAAAACCTAACCAAACAAACAAACAAAAACCAAAAGCCAAACAAAACAAAACCCTGTCTTAGGATTTCTACTGCTGTGAAGAGACACAAATGACCATGGCAACACTTATGAAGGAAAACATTTAATTGGGTGGCTTACAGTTCAGAGGTTCAGTCCATTATCACCATGACAGAACATGATGGTGTGTAGGCAGGCATGGTGGTGGAGAAGGAGTTGAGAGTTCTACATCTTGATCTGAAGTCAATAGGAAGTGAACTGAGACACTGGGTACAGCTTGAGCAAAGGAGACCTCAAAGCCCACCCCACAGTGACATATTTCCACTCCCTGTGAGCTTTTGGGAGGCAGTTACATTCAAACTACCACAACCGCCCCCCAAATGCAACCCAACCAAACCAAACCAACCCCCCACAAAAAGAAAAGAAAAAGAAAAGAATAGGTTTAGAGCTCCCCTCATGACCATAGCGTTGAGGTAATGTAACAAGTTAGCAATAACTAGCTGGCAGAGACTGACAGTGGGCCCTCCCTAGTCTTTTCCAGTTAAAGGGTTATCTGATTCTTTGAATTTTTTTGTGAGAAACCCCAGCTACATTTGCAGTTTTGATCTGTTCAGGTATGGCTGATTAATGTAATTAACAGTAATAATAGCTTGAGAAACCTGGGCAATGTAGTACTTGGGTAGCCTCGTATACTTTGTATATACTTCTAAGTGGTGCTAGGGATTAACCCCAGGGCTTGGTCAAGTCAGGCATGTAAGCCTTCGATCACTAAACTATGTCCCCTGCCAATATAATTTGTTTTTTCTAATGAATTACTGTGACATTATATTGTATAAATATCCACTGAATAAAACCGTTACTTTTTAAGGTAAGAAAACCTTTATTCTGTTTTAATTCATCAAAGATGGTTTTGTTAGGTTAACTAACAAAAGTTTCTTTTGATACAGTATTTACTTTCAGGAAATATAGTAGGCATTAAATGTAAGAAAAGAACCTTTAGTAATTTCCCTGGCAACAAAGCCTTCCCAAACCTTGTTCATCTGAATAGCTTCTTACTGTAGGGGTTCCATCCCTTTTGTTCTTCTGCAGGGTCTGGGAGCATATAGCTGCTGCTTTAGACTGGAGTCCGTCAAGTCTGTTCCATTTAACACTAGCTCTGTGAGACAATAGCATTAGAAACTGTCTAGTGGCCTTTCTCGTTTGTTCCTCTGTGGCAGCTTTCAAAGAATAAAGTTACCTCACTCTTCTTTCTGTCCCAAAGGCAGGTCAGCTTCTGTAAGCACTGGTTAATTGGTTCTAATCTGGGAGAGCCTGTAGCAGCCTCTTGGAATTTCTCCTGTGTGGTCACTGTTTGCTGTCCCTATGTCATTCTAATATCTTAATAAAGAGTGAAAAGTGTGTTATCTGATAAGATCATCTATTATACTTTCTTTAGAGGCATCATGCTGAAATAAATGCTTTAGCTCATGTTGGCATTTGAATTGTTATGAAACTTCCTAGGTCGTTTATTCCACATAGCTTTCATGTGCTTGTAGTCATGGCTCTCATTGCATTTTCAGTAGCTTTGTTGAGATGTAATTTATGCAATTTACCCATTTAAAGTATAAGATTCAATTGTTTTTAGTGTATTTACAATTGTGAAATCATCACCACAAATTAATTTAAAAAAATTTCCCCCTTCATCAGTCATCATTCCACATCTCTTCTGCCTAAATCCAGACAACTGTTGATTATCTTTCCATCTCTCTGGATTTGCCTCTTCTGGGCATTTCATTTAAAGGAATCTTAGGATATATGTGTCCTTTTATGCCTTGTGCCTTATTCCCTAGTCTGAGGGTGTTTTCTTAGTTTGATTTTTAATGTGTATGGATATGTTACCCAAATGTGTATCTGTGTACCATGTGTACCTTGTGCCTGAGGAGGCCAGAGAGGGCATCAGATTCCCTAGCACTGAATTACCAGCCATTGTGAACCACCATGTGAATGCTGGAATCAAACCTGGGTCCTCTAGAAGAGCAGCTACTATTAACCAGAAGCTGTCTCTCCAGCCTGTAACCTGAGTTTTGGGATAGATTCTTTTGTGTAGGGTATATCAACCCTTTGTGTCTCTTTATTGCTAGATAATATTTCATTGTTTATCCATTCCTAGTTGGTAGACACTGGGTATGTGCACACACATACATGCATATATGTACTAATGATACATTTCTAAAAATTAAAAAATACATCTACATGAAAGCATATGAAAATAGCTAAAGAGGACCCAGGCCTGCTCATTTTTATACTGGGTCATTTATCTGTTAATTATTACAGCTCAGAGGTAGGCAGGTAAGCAAAACCTTAACCAACTAATGTTTATTTCATTTTAGACATGAAATTATTATTATTATTATGTTGATTATTATAACATATATTCCTATCTAAGAGTATAGTTATAAATTGTCTATCTTTCAGATTGAGGACAGTAATTTCAATGAACTTCTGAGTTTATTACATTGCATTTTAGAGCTCTTGACTAATGTCTTGATTGTACATCATCGACTTGGAATGATCAGAGTTAGAGTAGGGCTGTCTGTAAGGTATGATTGATATAATCTGTGCTATTACAGCTATTTGGCCTTGTTAGCAATGGCAGTTAAGTTAAATTTCTTGGTCTGCTAAGGTCATCGTGGTCTTAAGATGGCTTACAAAGGGACGGTATAATCAGGTGTGTTGGAAGCTGGGGTTTAATTTTCAACCTATACTACTTGTGGGCTAAGTTCTACATTCGTTATTTAACCTATGCAACAGTGGTTTTGGTAAAATGTATTAGGAGATAAGGATGTGTAAGACTTCTTAGTATAGGTCTCTAAAGAAAACCTAAAATTCAAGACATCATTTGCTGATAGCACAAATCTGATAAATCTGAATATGACTACTATTTATAAAGCCCATGATGGATGTAAAAATCAAAATGGTCCTTCATTTCAAGATTATTGCCAGACATACAATAACAAAATCAGAAGACCAAATTGGCTGTGGCTTCAGAGGAAGAAAAGAACAAAGTCCATAAGGCATCTCAGATGCACAGCACACACGAGATGTGGGACTCTAGAGAGTTCCAATGTGAAGGGGATGCCATGTCATACAAAGAAACAGAATCACAACCAGCTATGGTTGCAGCAGTGTTCTGTAGTCACATTGGGCTCTTCAGCCACATACAGGAGGGGGACAGCAGTGTGGTATCAATTTAAAAGAAGGAAGAGTGTTGGTAGGAAGTAGAGGTAGGAATGGTGCCTATGTTTTGAGGAGTGACTCAGTTGACAGTTGGTTCAACAACTGAGTAGATTCTGTTTTGCTTCTACTTGAGAATGGGTCAATTTCTACCCATGAGCTATAGCAGTGTCTACAAATGCACTCTGAATAATTTACATACTAGCATTTTTCAGGGCATCTATATTAGCATGAAATCTTTTAGGCAGTATAGAATACCTATACTATATAGGTAACATAGAATACTCTATAATAACTATTATCTAATAGTTGTTGATTAAGACAAATAGGGTGCTTTAGTTATCTGTTTAATAGCTACACGTGTAACGTATACACTTATTTATACTTATACATGTTAATTAGCAGTGTATAAGTAGACTTTATAATTTCAATGCCCTGTTATATATTTAAGAGTTCAGTGACTCACTGCATAGTTTCAAATTTAACAGGATACAACTGATAAAACCAGTCACAATAGTTCTTCAGCTGTTGAGAACTTGTGAAACTGTACCCTGCATATCTGACTTAAAACATAGAGCCAACAGGGGCTGGAGAGAGGTCTCAGCTGTTAAGTTCTTCAGAAAACTGTTTAAAAATGAAACAACTGCAAGAAACTGATTTCATTTTCAAAATTCAAGAATATGAGACATGAATTGCCAAGCGTTGTATGCATTCTGCTTTTTATTTCCATAGAGTAAAAGGGCCATAAAGAATATCATACAAAAGTGCACCTACCTCCCAGCTCTCGAGCCGTTTCTCTATGATGCACCTCCCAATATCCTGAAGTATGTAGCTGGACAGTTCAGTAAGGTAAGGAATGCTGTCATAGCCTGGAAGAAGAGAAGACGATGAAAGCTATTTGTGAGCTTCTTTTTCTGCTTTCTTCTGCATAATTTGGTTTGGGTTTTACTACTCATGTCTCAACTCTCACCAATCTCAAGTGACACAGGTAACATAGGTTAACAAAACTCACAAGTAAACAGTTATCCTTCCTCATATAGTTCTCATAGCTCTGTACTGTCTTCTTAAACAATGTAAAAAGGAATTAATATGTCAACACATAAAAACCTAATATGGATGATTTATGCTGAAACGTATATTTTAGTGATTTTCTGTGTCCTTTAGTCTCACTTTTAGTCTAGGAACATAGCAAACATTTTTAGAAAAAGAGAAAGGTCTTTCGGCCACTAAAATACTTTCCAGAAACTCTATACTTGCTGGAGATGTTCTCGGTCATTTGGCACACAGTGACTTCTTATGAATGCAACTGTCATATTTCATAGATCATTGCAGATTGATGGTGATGCAGAAAGGTCAGGCTGCCGAAGTGCACAGCCAACAAGGCAGCAAGGGCTGGAAGAGAACAACTGTGTTATCGTCACTGACAGTCAGGATGGTGACCTTCATCTGTTGGGAACTGGAGAAACTCTACTCTGCATATCTGAATTAAAACATAGGGATCTACAGGTGCTGGAGAGATGGCTCAGCTGTTAAGAATACTGGCTGTTCTTCTAGAGGACTTGGCTTCAATTCCTAGCATCCACACAGCAACTCCTAAGAGTCTTTAACTCCATTCCCAGAGGATCCATGGCTGCTTCAGGTCTCCATGGTCACTAGGCATGCACATGGTACCCAGAATTAAATACAGACCAAACACCATACACATTTTAAAAAAGAAATTATTATCATGTAGGTCGAGGCAGATGTGGGTGGTTGTAGGGAATTTGAGGCCAGTCTGAGCTACACAGATTTCCAGGTCAGCCAAGACTATGAAATGAGACCCATCTCAAAAATAAACAACAAGCAAACAAAACAAACACACAAACAAAAAACAGAAGAAAGAAAATGGGGTCTGCACAAGCCATGTTGCAGAGTATTTATGTGTTCAGGCTCAGTTCTGTTTCTTTACATTTTTTGTTTTGTGTTTGGTGCTCAGGATGCCACACTTAAGGTCACACACATGGTTACTGCTCTGCTATTGCATCATATTCCAAGTTATAGCTCTAATTCTTCAGTAAAGTTTGACCTCTCTAACTCTTAATATTATTATGCACAAGACAGGAATAAGAATACTTATTCCATATACTGTTATAGAGGTTAAATGCTAAGAGTTTAATTCAAGCTAAGGTACATAAAATATCAAAAATGAAAACAAAAACAAAATTTTATTTAAAAAAAAAAACAAGACATTTGGACCCAGTGACACGGCTCAGCAGGTAAAGGTGTGTTCACTACACCTGGCAAGCTGAGTGCCATCCGGAGCTCACCTTGTAAATGGAAAAAAAACCAACTCTTCCCAGTCATCTTCTGACTTCCACACATGTGCTATGGCATGTGCACCCCCACGACTCAAATCAACAAATGTTAAAACAACACCCCGCATTGGGGATGGTGAGCTGTCTCAGCAAGTACAGGCATTGCCAGCCAGGCTTGACCTGAGTTCAATCGCTGGAGCCTATGTGAAGATGGAAAGAGAGAACCAGCTTTACAGAGTTGTTCTCTGAAGTCCACATGCATGTCATGTCACACACGCCCATGCACAGTAATAAGTGTTTATAGCCAATGAAATTTTCTTTAGTTAAGGAGACAACTCAGTTGAATGGTCAGTTTTAATGCTATTATAAACAAGGTAATTTCTTCCACATCCTTCTCACCCCTTTCTCCCTTTTCCCTCCCATCTCTATCTCCAGTGCTGGGGATCAAACCCAAGGGACTTGGACATACTTGCCAAATGTTATCATTGCTCTACCTTAGTTTTTAAGACAGTATCATCATATAGCTTAGGTTGACCTCCAGTCATAACCTGCCTGCTGAGAATAGGTGTATGCCATCACACCACACCTGGATTTTCTTAAAGGAGGTGACAGGGAGCTGAGTATTAAACAATGAGAAAGAGTTAACCAGGCAAGGGGACATTTCCTGGGGGGGGGAATGCAAACGATGACACATAATGCAAGCTCTGAACCCAGAGCTTAGGGTGGAGACGTGAGAGTCTGGAGTGCGGACATACTTAGGAGAGGATGGGAGAGGACCTTTCTGCCTTGTCAAGGATCTTGCCTTCACTTTCTTTGATAGTGGGCAGACCCCAGGTTCATGCTTTAGGTATGAGTGGATCCACCAGCTTTGCTCATTTCATTGCTCTATTCTACCTCTATAGCAAGGGTTAATGTATTTCATGTCCAGTCATCAGCTCCTTATTTTATAGGTGATGTATTGAACATGGTTCTCTTCTGCATCACTTCTGACACAATGTTGCTTTTAAAGAGAAATAATCTAACTTGGAACAGTACAGACGAGGTTTCTCATGTGTTTCTCTTTTTAAGGTGCTGCCTCATGACAGCAAAGCTCGAAGGCTTTTTGTAATGAGTGGTGGACTTAAAAAGATCCAAGAGATAAAAGCAGAACCTGGTTCTCTCCTCCAAGAATACATCAACAATATTAACAGCTGTTACCCAGAGGAAATAGTAAGGTGGGAAAACGGACTTTAATCAGCTCAATATTACAGAGACTTAATGTTTTGTTTTGTTTTCAAATCTAACTTTTATATCTATGCCAAAATGTAGATTTGGGGGGCTGGAGAGACAGCTCAGTAATAGAAGTGCTCGCTATGCAAGCTAGAGGGCCCGAGTTAGGCTTCCTACACCTGTGGAGAACCTGGGCCGCACATGTCCTAGGTACTGGGGCAGATACAGGTGGAACCTGGAAGCTCATAGGCTAGCCAGCTAAGTTGATGTCAGTGAGATTCAGGTTCACGGAGAGATGCTGTCCCCCAAAACAAGGCAGTAAGTAATGCACTTATATCCACACACATGTACATACATACCACACACACACACACACACACACACACACACACGCACGCACGCATGTGAGTGTGCGAAGAGGGTTAGGCTTAGGAGGAGGAGGAAGCAACTGTTTCTTTTTGTTGTTTGAGATGCTCTTGCTGTATAGAGATTACAGGAGACCCTCCAAGCCAGGTTTAACAAGAACATATTCTCAGGGCCTGTGTCACTGACCTATACTTCCAGATTAAGATTTCTCAACATTAAGCCCATTTTTAGAGCATTAGATCCAGGTCTCAGGTCCTGTAAACCTAGAGGAAAACTATATGGTTAAGCCCTAAACAAAAGCAAATTTGCCAAGAAAAGAATAGAATAATCTAAAGAATTGAGTCTTAAAAAACAAAATTGAGCATAGAGTACAGTTTTATTTTCTCCACAAAAAAAATACAAACACCCTCCATAACAACTCACAGGCTCTAACACATATAAATTATACCTTTCACCTACTCTTCCTACTTAAAACTCAATGTTTTGTTTTTTGAGACAGGGTTTCTCTGTGCAACCCTGTCTGTCTTAGAACTTGCTTTGTAGACCAGGCTGGTCTCAAACTCAGAGATCCACCTGCCTCTGCCTTCTGAGTGTTGAGATTAAAGGAATGCACCACCATGCCTAGCTATACTAGTGGCTTTAAAAATATAGTAACAATTGAGTTTAAAAGCACAAGGGAATTTTAAGATTAAATCGTTCTTTTACTAACAACTTTATGTTCTCCCTTCCTTCCTTCTATCCTTCCTTCCTTCCTTCCTTCCCTCCTTCCTTCCTTTTTTCCTTCTTCCAAGACAGAGTCTTACTATGTAGCCCTTGCTGGCTTGAAACTCACTATGTAGATGAGGCTGGCCTCAACTTTCACAGATCTTACCTGCTGCTGCCTCCCAAGTGTTGGAATTAAAGGTGTGTGCTACCATGCCTAGCTTGAACTCTTCTTAAAGACTTACAATTACATTTCTGTGTATATGTGTACATGAGTGCAGGTGCCTCCAGATGGATCCCCTGTAGCATCTGAGATGGTGCTGTGAACAAAACTCAGGTTGCCACCTGGGTCCTCTGTAAGAGCAATACATGCTCTTAACTACTGAGCCTTCTCTCCAGTCTAAGTCATTCACTCTTAAGAAGCTGATGGGAACTTGAAACAATTCCAATAAGCCAGTTTTGAAAATACTAAAAAACAAACAAACAAACAAACAAAAAAAACCCAACCTGGTGCTTTGTCAAAATACTATCATAAAATTTAAATCCTTGAATTCTATGCTTTGAGATTTCATCATCATCATCGTCATCATCATCATCATTATTATTTGGTCTTTTGAGACAGGGTTTCTTTGTGTAGCTCTGAATGTTCTGGAACTAACTCTGTAGACCAGGCTGGCCTTGAATTCACAGAGATCCTCTTGCCTCTACAGCAGTGCTGGGATTAAAGGCAGACACTACCATGCCCAGCTGAGATTTCATTTTTAAAACTATCTAATTTTCATGAGGATTTTGGTTAGCTGATCTTTTCAACTTTCTGATTTTTAAAAAAGCACTAGCTGCTATGTAATAACATTTTATGGAAATTTTTAAAACACTGTGAAAATAGATAAATATAATTTCAAAATGGTTTTATTTTTACAGTTATCTATTTCTCAAAAATCAGTTGATGACAACTGTTTTAGATCTAATTATTTTTATAAGACAGCATCATTCCATATTGTCTTCCAATTTTAATTTTTAACCTATCATTCCAGCACAAGGGAGTGTTATAAGAGGGAAGGGTATGGACTAGGCTTTCGAAGGACCTATTCTCTAGGTTGGGCTCACTCCCCAGCCACAGGTGTGTTCTGAACTTGCCTTCTGGATCTCTGCACACTGTCAGGAGGAAAGGGGCCTCTAGGACACATCTGATGAGGGAGGGGGCATGCATACAGCCTGCTACCCAGCACAGTAGTAACTTAACTGTAGCACACTAGATCCATGCCCAAAGGCCAAGACAAGAATAACCCAAATTCCTCCTAGTCTGTGGTAAAGTTAATTTGCCTACACTCTGATTAAAGGCCGTCAGAGCTAGGTTAGAGTAGCAGTGGTTGATAGCTAGAGGAAAGGAAGAAATGTCTCACCTTTTTTTATGGTCCTGATGAAAGCTCAGGTCATGTGTCCAGACAGACCTAGGTTCCTATCTCAGTTCTAATTATATCCTGTGTGATCTTAAAGACAATTATTTATATTCTTTAAGCTAGAGTTGCTGTACTTGTAAATATTATTACATATCTCATAACATTAGGATTAAATGACATAATAGCCCAAGGGCTTGAATTAGCAAGAATTCAATCAATATTTCTTATTGTCCCTTTGGAGTATCTCTATTCTTATTTTTTATCTTACAATAAATAGTATTATTAGGCAAATAAAATTTAATTTTATAATCATATTAGAGATACTATATAGTAGTACTTGGTTCCTTGTTTTTTTGCTATTTTTTGATGATAAAAATGCATACCAAGCAAATATAAAATAAAATTATTCTGGTGTATTTAAAATGCCATTCATTGTGGAGCTGGAATTACATATTTTTTCCTAATATGAAGCTACTTTTTTTCTTTTACTTAAAATTTAAATTAGAAACAAGCTTCTTTTATATGTCAATCCCAGTTCCTTCTCCCTCCCCTCCTCCCCTGCCCCACACTGACCCCCTATCCCATCCCCTTTCTGCTCCCCAGGGAGGTTGGGGCCTTCCATGGGGGATCTTCAAAGTCTATCATATCATTTGGAGCAGGGCCTAGACCCTCTCCCATGTGTCTAGGCTGAGAGAGTATCCTTCTGCGTGGAATGGGCTCCCAAAGTCCATTCGTATAGTAGGGATAAATACTGATCCATTACCAGAGGCCCCATAGATTAACCAGACCTCCAAACTAACATCCTGGTTCAGGGGATCTAGAACAGTTTTATGCTTGTTTCCCAGCTATCAGTCTGGGGTCCATGTGCTCCCCCTTGTTCAGGTCAGCTGCCTCTGTGGGTTTCTCCAACCTGGTCTTGACCCCTTTGCTCATCACTCCTCCCTCTCTGCAACTGGATTCCAGAGTTCAGTTCAGTATTTAGCTGTGGGTGTCTGCTTCTGCTTCCATCAGCTATGGGATGAAGGCTCTAGGATGGTATACAAGGTAGTCTTCAATCTCATTATTGATGAAGAGCATTTAAGGTAGCCTCTCCACTATTGCTTAGATTGTTAGTTGGGATTATCCTTGTAGATCTCTGGGCATTTCCCTAGTGCCAGATTTCTCTTTAAACCTACAATGGCTTCCTCTGTTATGGTATCTCTTTTCTTGCTCTCCTCTATTCTTCCCCTGACTCGATCTTCCTGCTCCCTCATGTCCTCCTCTCCCCTTCTCTTTCTCCTAACTCCCTCTCCCCCCACCCATGCTCCCAATTAGCTCAGGAGGTCTTGTCCTTTCCCCTCCTCCTGGGGACTGTATGTGTCCCTCTTAGGTCCTCCATGTTTCCTAGAGGAAGCTACTTTTTGAATGTTAGCACAATAGCAGTTGGAATGAGGCTTTCTCAGCAATGAATAACTTGATAAAATGAAATGGTAAATAAATTTTTTATAAATTTTAACAATCCAAATATCCAAACTATATAATTTCAAAGTGAGTTATTGTACATTTGTACATTGTTACTTCTAGAATATCTTAATTCAGGGGGTAAATCTTATTGGAAATATTTGGGGTAAATTTAGATCATGTAAAACTTACATTGGAAGGAAGACTCACAAAGGATTCCAGACTTGTTTTTTGTGTTCTCCTATAGTTGACTGGTCAGTTTTGAAGCTAAAATTTAAAATTTTAGTTTCTTAAGTATAGTAACTATATTTCTAGTGTTCTTCAGCCCCATGTGATTAGTGGCTACCATTTGAAGTAGCATATTTAAAAAGACTTTGCAAACCCTGCCTCCTCACCTTTATATAAAAACTACCTGTCTTGTACCTGACACATTTATGAGGCATCAATGAAAGCAGAACCAGCTTTAACATCAGTACTAATGCAGACTGAGAGGCAGAATTGACAGTCCTCAATGACAGGCTAAGAAATCCATGTTTGAAATAGATTTTTCTAGATTAGGTGGCCTTTTTGGACTTTTGATGAAAACTTTTTTTTCAGACAGGGTCAGGGTCTTAGCTGATCTGGAACTTGCTATGTAGACTAGGCTGGTCTCAAACTCACAGAGATCCACCTGTATCTACCTTCTGAGTGCTAGAAGAAAATGTGTGTGCTTTCATGCCCAGCTAAATTTTGTCTACTCTTTCGTTTTTAATTATGTGTATATGTATGTGTCTGTGGACACGAGTGCAGGAGAAAGAACACTCTTTAAAAGATTGTCTTAGGCAGCGTGTACTCTGTTTAACTTTAATCGTGAGCAAAGACACTATTGAAGAAAATATAGCTTTGTTTTGCCCACCTTAACTTGATACATTGTGGAAGAAAGTATGCCTTTTAGAAGATTTTTTATTTTTTATTTTATGTATTGTCATTTTGCCTGTATGTGTGATTGCGTGCCATTTATGTGCCTGGTGCCCTCAGATGTCAGAAGAGGGCACACTCCCTGGGACTGGAGATATAACTGGGAAACTGAACCCAGCTATTCTGAAAGAGCAATAAGTGTTTTAAACACTGAACCATCTCTCTAGCTCCAAATTTATGACTTTCTAAGTAGGCATAAAGACAACTAACAAAGGACAATGTTCGACATTAACTTTTATCTACAGAAAACATTTTCAAAGGCTTAATCACTTTGAGTAAATATTTTGGAAATTTCTAAATTATAATTTTCTAGGTTTTTAAATCCACTTCTAACATCAGCATACCTACTAGATTTTATGTCTTTTTTATGTAAATAAAAATTATTTCCATAGTATATCACTATTCATACACACTATTAACATATTTCATATTTGATACTAGATATTTTGTAAGATGTTCAATTTAGGAATCTACAAATGTAAATGTATAGTACTATATATGTCCAAGAACCAATTAAGATGTTTAATTTTATATTTTATATAATAAGAGTATTTAACAAAACCATTTCCAATTGTTTTCAACTTGAATTATGACTGGTTCTGATCAAGCTATATTTTCAGACATGATTTCTAAGGCAATTGGAATCCAGAAATTGATTAGCAATAATAAGTTGTGTGGTCTAACATACAAAAGACATTTATTAGCTATGATCCTTGCGTACCATCACTCATTTGATGTGCTAAAAAGGAAATCTCTGAGGTATGACCACTGGATGGAAGGCATGTGCTCGGACGAAGTGTCACCACACGTACATTCCTGAAGTGTAGTATCTAGTACAACATTGTGAGTAGGACTCTCTTCCTTCATATGCTCTACATTTATCCACAAGCATTACTGGAACATATGTGACGTTTCACCTATGATTATCTATTTTACAACATTTTACATGTGTTTATGTGTGCACACATGTAGGACAGTGTGCATGGGAAGGTCAGACCTGTAAGGCTGGTTCTCTTCTACTATGTGGGCTCCAGGGATGAACTCAGCAAGTGCCCTTACTGGCTGAGCCACCTCACCAGCCCCACACATTATTTCATAGACTGCTTTGTGCCTACTGTATGAAACATTTCCACGTATCTAATAGCAGATTTTCTTTTTCAGGTACTATTCCCCCGGATACTCAGATACGCTTCTGCAGAGGGTGGACAGCTTTCAGCCGCTCACTAACTGAACAAAGTGTACTTTATGCTCAGATTCACAGAGGGCTATGTACAATTGTTAAAGATCTTTCTGAAATGTTTCACATAAGTACATCCCAGTTTTGTTCTATATGAAATACCTTTAATATTTTTTACATTTATGTACTGCTTTATAAATTATTAGCTTCAATGTGTGAAAGACTAATTATCATTTGCATGCATAGAGATGCATAAAGGAAGGTTTAAAAGGCAATAAAGGGGTTTAAGGTATTTATTTTTATACAAAACACAACACACAACACAACACACACATCCTTATGACTAGATATAAATGAGACCTGCTGTTTGAAAACCCTTGGCTATTTCCTCATGGGGATGGGTAAGGACACTAACTGACCTTGTCAGTTAGACAGAGAATAGGGAGGGAAGTATGGAAAGAGAAAAGTGGAGGCAGAAATGTGGGGCCCTTAAAAAAGACTCGTGGTTACTTAAGTGCACTGAATTAATGCGAGAGATCTACAGATAGCCTGCTTGGTTTCCTAAGGACTTAGGAAAGCCCTCCTCTTTTAGTACAGGTTTTGAAACCCTTTTCTTCTCACCCTACATGAAGTGTTGCTTCCCTTTCGTGTACTCTGATGGTCAAGCTCTCCATTCTCACTGAGAGGTCTTATCATGACTCCCTTTCAAGGTTACAGACATGGAAAATGGGTCCTCAGGATTCCCTTGTCCCAGGTTAACTTTCTCAACATATTTTCAGAATGCACATACTCAGGGATTTAAGGTATAATTTTAGCAGAATATCAGCAGGGTCAGGCTTAATGCATTTCACATAAGAAGCTGTAATGGGGCCAAAGCAGATTCCAACAAAACATTAAAAACAGCATTGCAAATTTTTTCTTAATTTTTTTCTACTTAGCCAATGTACTTCTGTCCTTAGGGACTTGTGCTTGGATCTAGAGTCTTGGTTGTTGTGCCTATGTCTTTGGGCCTAATGGAATATTGTCCTTTTTAATTAATTTTATTTATGTTTATGAGTGTTTTGTTTACATGTATGTCTGTGTACCATGTTCTCAGAAGACAGCCTCAGATCTCCTGGGACTGGAGTTACACATGGTTGTAAGCCATCGTGTGGGTGCTGGGAATCCATCTAAGGTCCTCTAGAAGAGCAAGCAGCCAGGGCTCGTAACCCCTGAGCCATCTCTCTATAGCCCATAAAGGTATATTTCTTGAGTGGCCTTTCCTGGAGGCCTGAAGAATAGAGAGGGACAGGATATCCTAGAAAATCCCCAAGCTACAGTAGGCCCAGTTCTGAAAAACTGATTTCTCAAGTTCATCTTAGACTCCTGTTACGTTTAGTTTTCTCAAAATGAAAGTACCCATTTACAAGGAGCATTTTCCTGGGTTTACCTCCATCTTCTGTATTTTCTACCAGCAGCTTTGACACAGCTTTTAAAAACTTCTTCATAACCGGCAACCAATTTCCCATCTCGTTTTTTACTTGTGTTAAGCTAGACTGTCTAGTGGTTTCCTGTTTGTGGTGGCATGCTGAGGATTGAGCTCATGCTCACGTGTGTACAACACACACCCCCACTCCTGATTTCATCTCTTAATACTTTCACAGCCTATTTTATTTCCTTACAGAAAGTTCTTAGATTTGTTTCATAGGAAAATATCATTTTTCTTCTTCTTTTTTTAGTTTACCTTTCTCTTTCCTGTCCATCCAGTTTGTCTTCTAAAGCATTTAAATGGTCTGAGGAGATAAAAGTAGCTTGCATCATTCTTTTTTTTTTTTTTTTTTTTTTTTTTTTTTTGAGACAGGGTTTCTCTGCATAGGATGGAACTCACTCTGTAGACCAGGATGGCCTGGAACTCACAGAAATCTGCCTGCCTCTGCCTCCCAAGTGCTGGGATTAAAAGCATGTGCCACCATCACCCAGCTTCATGCTTAACTAGGCCTTTTCAGTCTTGTGTTATAGCTTAGGCCTGGGAAAGCTACGGTGTCAGGATTTCAAGTTTGAGACTAGTATATGTGACAGACTAATACCCTGTCTGAAACAAAAACAAATCAACAAAAACACAGTAGGTTTTCTTACATGACCATATAATACCTAGGTTAAAATATCTTTAAATATTAGAATGGTAAATTCCTTCTTGTTTCTTTCTATTACCATTATACTAATGTAGTTGACATTTTTCACTTTATATGTCACTTTATCTTTATCAAAGGGTACTACACTAAGAATAAAATAATACTGTTCTGCTAGATGTTTCTAATTTGATCAGATGGTATTAGCAAATTTTAAGTTATATTTCTTTTTCTGGTGTTTTTGTTTGAGATAGGGTATATTATGTACCACTGGCTATCCTGGAAATCAATGTAGAACAGGCTGGCCTCCAACTCAGAGAGGTCTGATCACCTCTGCCTTGGAAGTGCTGGCGTTAAGGGGTATGCCACCACACCCAGCTGTATAAACTGTTTCTTTGTAAGACACTTTAAGTGCTGGAATTAGGGGGTATGCCACCACACCCAGCTGTATAAAATATTTCTTTGTAAGACACTTTAAGCAACTTAAAACCTTTTTAATATAACATTAAAATTTATTTGTGTTAAAGCAAAAATAATGTCTGTCGTTGATGATGTTCTCTGGTATTTTCACTCCTGGCTTAAGTTGTGTTGGTGCCAATTGTCTGTGTAGACTAACCCCTCTCCCGCTGTCACCTGTACTTTACTCAAATTTTAACTTTTTATACGGATTCCTCACATATGAGGGATAACTGCTGTCAGGGGTTTGGGAACAGAGCTGGCCAGACCTTCTTTTTGCAGATGAAGCTGCTTCACCTGTGTGGGAAGAGGTGAAATGCATAGTACCTTTCTGAAAGGGATATTGAAGCCTGGTTCTAGTCACCAGTCTGTTAGCGAGGAAGGGTGATGATATGCACTCAGTTTTCTCATGAAATACTTATGAAAACAATCTATAATGAAGCAGGTGACAGTGTTGTAACTCTTCCATTCTACATAAACTTGGTATGATAGTGGGAGATCTGATGGACAAAGTTAGACATTTTGGCCAACAGTTATGTAGTGTTTAAGTTATGTAGGGTTAAGTTAAGTTATGTAGGGTTTAAGCCTGATGATTTGTGATAAAGCAAAGCTAATTTCCTACCCTCATGGAGTTTTCTAACACTCAATTTCCCAGATGGAGCAAAACAGTCACAAGACACTGAACACAAAGCATGTGAAAACAAATGGCAACTTCATATTCATAGGACATTGTCCTGTTTTTCTAACCTTTCTTCTCAATGAAAACCCTGTCTCTTAAAGAATGAAAGGTCTGTTGCTAGAAATAAAGCCCTGTCCTTAAATCCCGAAGACCATCCCTAAGAAGTCAAGTTTAGAACCTGACCTTGAAAGGATGAAGAATTTTCTGTAGCCATCCCTTTAAGATAGGTCCTAGCAAATGTTGGGGCTCATTGGTCATCAAATTTGATGTTTAGAAAACTTAATTTATAGTTACTTTTTCAGAGATTGACAGGATCAAGTGACAGGTCTATATCCATAACTGTTGTATTTACCAATTGTGACAAAGACTATTTAGTTTTAAAATTAGATTTTGGTAAAATGTGAACAGAACATTTTGTTTTTAACTAGTCCTTGAGGCTATAAAGTTAGGTCCTAATCAGGGTACTGCTCTAAAGAATGCAGAGCTCTGCAAATGTTGGTCATAGTGTGAAAGGCAGAGGAAGGGGAGGAAAGCAAAAATACTCCAGACCTCAGAACCAGGAAAGAATCCAGTAAGAAGTTAGCCTAACTTCAAATGGCTTCCTAGGCCTTGTACAGTTAGAAAAAAATTTGGGGAAAATACATCTGTTTTACTTAAGAGTTTTAAAAATAAAACTTCCAGAGAGACAGTAGTTTCTTTGTTTTATAGAGCACAAAAATTTCACTATCTATCTTAATGGGTTTAGGGGAAAGTATTTCCTTAGTAATTAATTTAGGGATCAGTATAAAAATGTGTATTTCTGAGTTCCTTTTATTTGTGACTGGTATTTTTTCTATAGTAATTTTAACTGAATGCTGGATCAAGAATACTAATATATCATCATCATAAAATGGTCTAGTATAGACATTTACACATTAAATAAAGCCTCTTAGTTTGTCCATAATATCAAATGTATGCATTACTGATGGTGAATGCTCAAAGTAGGCTGGATATAAAGATGTTCAGTTGCTTGTGAATGGTTGCAACCTATACTGAGTTCTCCATTTTACATGTTTCTGTGGCGTGCACAGTATAAACCACACAAGGGTGGTGGCTCTGTTCTCTTCTGCTCTCCGTATCTCCAGCACCGCAGCAAGCCTGCAGTGGGTAGAGGTAGCAAAGGATAGGCTGAGACTCAGGGCTTCTGGCCCCTGGCTAATATAGGCAGACAACTTTCTCATCACAGTCAGTCAAGTCTCTTCAAGTTCTGAGGCTTTAGTTTTCTGAAATAATGCAGTGTAGAAGGGACTGCATAGTCTTAAGGAGACCAAGATCCACGTGAGAATCTCCAAGCTACCGTGCTCTGAAGTCATGGGTGAATGACCAGTAACACTCTCTTCATACAACTCTGAGGATTAAATGAGGCTGAAAAACCATAGGACTTGGCATTAGTCTGTATACCTTTGTGTGAGTTGAAAAGGGTGACCAATCCTCAAGACATTTTGTTTCTATTGATAGAAATTGTTATAATACTCTTATTTTGTTAAAATAAGACACTTGACTGCCATCTGCTGGAAAACTCTTTGTAAACACGCAAATCTATGATGTTTAATGCATAAACCATGACACCAAGTACTGGGGCCTTTGTGTAGAACATGACCTGCACCACTGTGCACACAAGCACTAAATAAAAGTCTATTTGCTGCTCTCCTAACTTCTGGGAAATGTTGCTTAGAAAAGGATTCCAGGTAACACTTGTATGAATAAATTAAATTAAACATTCAAAGTTCAAAGCACTAAACACTATACCATGGAGCCAGCAGCAAAGTTAATGTCAGTAAAAGGAATCAACTTTTTTTTTAACAAAGCCTAGAAACATCTGTGCTCACTACTTTCATCATCTCCCACTTCTTTACCAAAAAGAATATTCTATAGTAAAACCTATAGTTAAAGTTAGCAGAAATATCAACTGAGGGCTGGAGAGATGAGTCAGCAGTCAAAGAGGACCAGAGTTAGGTTCCTAGCATCCACTTTTGGAGCACAAAATCTACTAACTCCAGATCCAGAGATTCACACGCACACACACACACACACACACACACACACACACACACACACACACACACTAATAATAATAATAATAAAATCTTCTAAAAAACTAATTGAGTCATTAATCTTACATTGATAAGCATTGGACATAAGATCAAACTAGGAGATTTTTAATGTATTGAAAGCAAAGCATGTTGTAAAAGAACATTTTTATTTTAAAATGCCCTTTTATTTTAAAAACTGAACAAAAAACAATACACTGATAATATACTAAATATACCAGTATTACGAGATGGCAGGTCTCTCCCAGGAAAGTAACTCTGTTGTTTTGTATTTAGCCAAGAACCTAGGCTGGGATACAACAGGCCTCTGCTCCAGCAGGGAATCCTTATTGTAGTAACGATGACAATTTCCTTTTGTACACAAAAGGAAAACTTGGGCTCATTTTCATACCGAACTCTACAATCACAGAGACTACTGGCTGCCACTTCATAGGGGAGAGTTCATTGATAGTGGGAGCACTCTGTCAGGATGAAGGATTTATCACCTTGGCAAGGAGCACAGGTGCTAGGATGGCTCATAGAAACTTGGAGCAAACAACAGTCTGTTGTACAAGATGTGGAAATGTTACAACAGTCACAGTAGAGTGATAAAAGGTACCAACAGCTTCAAGTGTCATACTATGCAAGGATGGAAAATGGCCAGGCAGATGTGATCTATAGAGAGCCCACAGGACATACCATGGTGATAAAGTATATCTAAAGGGTAAAGATTACCAAGGATGTTAGTGGAGGCCATCTTCTACATGTAGGACTGACTGAAGAGACACAGTTATAGAATGGGGCTCTTTGACAGAAATTAGGATAATAGGATGAGCTCACAAAATAACAGAAGCCAGATAATGCCAGGAGCAAAGTGTGTGCAATTATTGCAACACAAGGACAAGGTTAATGTGTCATCCAGTGGTCCTATCGAGATAGCTATGAAGACGGTTAATAGAACTTAATGTTTTAGAGGCATATGAGGGTGGTCTACAAGAGTAACAGCTTAAAACAGCAATAAACCAAGATTGGATGGGTTAGGAGACCAGTAGCTGCATGTTCTGGGGAACTTCAAGTAAGAAATAGCCTCTAGCAGGGCATGGTGGTACATGCCTGCAATCCCAGCACTCAAGGAGGCAGAGGCAGGTGGATCTCGAGTGAGATCCAGGTGAGTTCGAGAACAACCTGGTCTACAGAGCGAGTTCCAGGACAAAACCAGGACTGTTAACACAGAGAAACCCTGTCTCCAAAAACAAACAACAACAAAAAAGCCTCCATCAGGTTGGCCTGTTGGCATATCTGTGGGCATTTTCTTAATTACTGGTTAAGAAGTAGTCAGCACACTGAGGTGGGTGCCATCCCTAAGCAGATGGGTCTGGGTTATATAAGAAAAGCATTTTTACAAGCTGGAGGAAGCAAAACAGTAAGTCTGTGCTCTCTGCAAGCTCCTGACTCTGGGCCTTGCCTTAGGTTTCCTCCATGATGAATTACAACCTGTAAGCCAAATAAACCATTTCCTCCTCAAGCTGCATTTGCTTAGTGTTTTATCACAGAAATGGAAACCAAACTAGGGTACTGCTGCAGTTACTAGCACAGTTTCCAAAACCCCAATCCCACTGTCCAAGAAAAATGTACTTCGTGGTGTTTTCTCATCACCAGAATGTTGCTCTAGCCCTTTTACCAGGGAAAAGAGCTCTATAGCAGGAAACCCTGCCATGCCACTCAGAATACCTTATGGTATTAGTGGCAACTGTTGGGAAAGGAGGCCAGGAAGTTACTAGGAATCTCAAAAGAATCACAGCAGAAACCATAGAAACAACATTCCAAAAGTTCCTGTAGACTACTATGACCTGACTTAGGTGGTCATGCAGCTATGTAGCAAGAGGTCTGGTTATATACAAATCAAGTACATAACGCAGGCCCTGAACAGCATGAAATCTTACCTTCGGCAGCAATGACTTTGCCTCCCACCCGGTAACATGCTTACGTTTCTCATACAAGGGAAAAGGGTTTAGAACCCTATGAAGTTACTCTGAGGAAGCCTTAGATTGTTGCTTACTCTAGATACATATCTAGGAGTACTCACAAGGGCAAGAAAGGAGCCATACTTAGTCATCTTTGTGTTCAGTCTGGTGCTAGGAAGCTCTGCAGAGTTCTGTAACACGAGTTCTAATAGGTCTTAATAATAAAGGTCTAGAGTCAGATATAGGGGAAAATGTTGAGAGATCAGAGAGAAGGAGCAAGTCAAAGCCACCTTTACCTCACTAGCTTCCTAGAGGAAAGGAGACCGAGTTCCTGTTTCTCCAACTTACATTCTTTTCTCAGCCCAGCTACCTAACTGTCTGTCTGGACAGAACTCCATACCTCTAGGGTTAGCTAGTGGCAAGCTCCACCCTCTGATCTTCAGACAAGCTTTATTTGTATAAACAAGGTATCACACAGAGTTCCATGAGCCATCCTGGCTGTTGATTCTTAAAGAAACTCTGCTCTGACTGCGTTTTCTTTTCTCAGTGCTGTTGATGAACCCAGTGACAGAACATTTGACTAGCATGCTCTAGACCCTGGCCCAGGTGAAGACACTAGGAAAGGATGACTTGCCCAAGGAGGAACAGGCTCTTTTCAAGTTCTCCTACACAAGCTATGTAGGCCACATGGACTCAGTTGAGGTTAGCAGTGCCTGAAGCTATTCTTAGGATTTTAAAATAGGAAAAAAAAAAAGACTAGAAGGAAGGACCCCACACTGTAATGAGATTTTCAGAATGTATCCCACAGCTTCAGCTTCCATATTTATTGTGTGAACTCACCAATCAGAGTCTCCTGGGAATTTTAGAATTTACTCATATCAACAGTGATAATTGGGTCTTTCGGAGTGGTTCATGCCAGCCCAATGGAGGAATCAGTGAGCTCTGGCTTTGAGGCACTAGGAACTAACCACACAGTACTTATTGTATAAGGAAGTGGTGTGGTTTGTTCCATAAGATGCTCAAGTACCATGTTTCTAAACGTGTACTGCCACTTAGGGTCTCCCCTGCTGACTTCTGCTGTTTGTAAACAGTAGAACGGCATCTGGAGTAAAACAGATGGATCCAGGTTGGGCTGTGGAAGAATTCTGGTGCTGTGCAGAGTAGTAGTTGAAGAGGGAGAAGGAGACTTGAGTAGGGAGCTAGTCCTGAGTTAATGACTCTAAGTAGACATACCAAGTGAGGCTGGCTTTAACATATCCATTCCAAAGCAGCCAAATACACTCTTCTTGGTCTCTTCCATGCTCTGACCAATTGAACTTTTAAGTTTTGTGTCTTTTGCCTTATCCTTCCAAGGTACCAAATAAGGATCAGTAAGAGCATCACAGAAGTTTTGTTTATTTCAAGATATTCCTGTGAATTTATTAACTTTTGTACTGAGCCCAAGGAAGAACTTAAATGGCAATTCAATCCTTGAATCTTTTTTTTTACTCCCATTTTTCAAATTTCATCTTTGCAATGATTTTGGTGCTAAATCCTGCTTCTCTGGTTTAAACCATCTATACCAATGAGTTCGCTGGAGGCCTTTGGGAAGAAAAGACTAAGTTAGGAAAGGGAAGAAAAATTATTACAGATCTATGTATGAGGAGGCGGGAAAGAGGAAGAATTTGGATCATTTATATGCTGCATGTCTTACTGACAGTTAAATACAGTGTTTTGTTCTGTTTTCTGCCACTCGAGGGTTATTTAATTAAATTCATGACCGAGGATGCTAACCAGTCCCACATCTAAAATAATTGCTTCTCTGTTGGTGAGATGTAAAGCTGGGATTGATTGTCCCCTGGCTGATGGCTCTCCTTTCTGACTCATGAATGTCATCTCCACTCCCCTCCCCACGTAATTTGATCTCTGTATTTGATCCCTATTTAGTAGTACACTTCGCTAAACAGATGTCCCAGTAATTAAAATCCCACATGGGCACACTAGTCAGTGAGTTACATCTATTTAATAGTCAGCTTAGAAACTTTTCACCCTTGGCTTTCCCCCATCCTGGTGTTATGTGTTTCTCGCCTTCATCAGCTTTAAATATTAGAGCTCAAGCTGGCCATGCTTGTTTTCCTGCAATTGTTGAGTCTTCTTTTCTTTTCCTGACATCACTTTCCCTGCAAGTTCCAGGCCTTTCTTTTGACTCACCTGGATTTCCACCAGCATCCAAATTCTCATTGAATGAGTCATCTTATATTCATTCATGCCAGCTCTAGCAATAAAAAAATCATAAAAAGGCTGTTATAACCATGGATTAAAAGTGTCTTATTTTTCTCCCCTTAGGCATAGCCAAATATTTCAGTCTAAAAAAATCTTAAAAAAACAAAAACCAAAACTATGAGATCAAATACTAGAAACCTGTTTAGCTGCTACAAGTCACCAAAGGACTTTGATGACAAAGAATTAGAGAGGAAATAATGTATTTGGAGAGGCATGGGGAGGCTGGGAAGGATTTATGACATGGAATTTGCTACTTTGGGAGAGGATTTAGAACTTCATTTATGGAAGTTATTTATAAAAGTGTTAACACTAAAGAGACAATATTTGTAATGATAAATCTGATAGGGACATATTTAGAAAATCATTTTATAAAAGTTTTTCATCATATTCATGTTTATTTTTATTTTGGTGAGGCTACTTCTAGAATATTTCAGAATTCAAAAAAAGTGTGCTTAAAAAAATCAAGCAGCAAGTTCAGAAGATAACAGATACTGCTTTAGTTCTAAAATTCTAAAAGTAGTTACCTAAACTTCATTGCCATGCTTACATTTAGGAAGTAAGTGAAAATCCTTCTGCTCAATCAAAACTTCATTTTGGTGGTTTACATTCAACCCCTACTCTTGTTATCTAAACTAACAAAAGCCATGTAAATAAGCAGAGATATAAATTAACAAGTGTCTTAAATAAACAGTTGTACACAATGAATGTGAGTCTTACATAAACAGGGATACCAAACAGGAGCTAGGATTTCAGGAAGGTAGATTCCCAAACAACTGGAAACAGTATGGGTGTGATTTCTTTTACTGTCTCATATCTAAGACTGCTGTGGATCATGATGTTCTAAAGATTGGCATGCTTTCATCTAAAAAAGCTCAGGGTACTCTCTCTCTCTCTCTCTCTCTCTCTCTCTCTCTCTCTCTCTCTCTCTCTCTCTCTCTCTCCCTTCCTTTCCTTTTTTTCTGATCTAGGCCTTTTAAGCCTTGTTTTCCCTCCAGCCATTCCATATCACCTATCTATCCATGCTCAGCTGTTTCCTTCTGATCATTAAACAAAAATGTATTAATTCCATTTCTGCTTCCCACTGCCTTAGTATAAACTAGGAAGGATATTTCTTTATGTCCTCACAAAGTTGTAAAGATCATGAGAGTTCCTACAAAGAGCTCAGACTGCACCCTCACCACTTTCCATTTGAGTGGGTGACAGCAAGGTTCCATAATACAGAAAATAGATAATGAAACTATGTATATTCTAGGGGTGTTTGGCAATGGTCACACGAGGTAATTCCTGCAGGTTTCAAGGTCAGAACATGCTTACAACAAACTCTATTCCTTGTAAATGCCAACACAAATGCAGCTACCAAGCAGAGTTTCCCACTGAAATTAGAGTACTTCCTCTTAGACTCCCATCTCTGCAGCCTGAGGTCTCTGGGGTGTGTTCTTATTTGGTACTGCAACGGTTAGACTACAGCCCCTGAGTGAGTTCTGTGGCAGCTAGGGATGGGAGAAGCACGATGTGAGGATGCTGGTTGAGAGCGATCCTCTGAGGATTAGAGGTGAGAACAAGCAAAATCTACAAACAACAAAAATCTGAGCATTCCAAAAGAAAAAATCTACAAACAACAAAAATCTGAGCATTCCAAAAGAAAAAATCTACAAACAACAAAAATCTGAGCATTCCAAAAGAAAAAATCTACAAACAACAAAAATCTGAGCATTCCAAAAGAAAAAATCTACAAACAACAAAAATCTGAGCATTCCAAAAGAAAAAAAAAGGATGAGTGAGTCTTTCAAACCTTCTGAGGGTTTTCGCACACTGACACACATGTATATTGATGCTAGTGTCCAAATTCCCAGAACACTGTGAAAGACTGTTGCTAAGGTGCAAATGCTACCTCTCTTGAGTGACAGCCATCACAAATAGCCATGGTCATGCGTATTATTTATAATGCTTGGCATACAGACGATCAAAATAATTCTTCATATAAATCTACTTCTTCCATAGTTTTGTGGTGTATCTTTTCTTACATTACACTTTGTTTCATGCCTCCCTCTTTAACCTGAGATGAATTTTCAGTACGTATGAAGCATGTGCTCAGTTAGATTTCCCCCCAGTGACTGGCCAGGGTTCCCAGTACTGTTTGTTGACAATCCATGTTCTCCTCATTAGTGATGCTTCATTTACTGACATATTGAATTCAGAGCTATCTAGTCTAAAATATTAATCATTTGTCAATCTTTTTTCAGTAATTCAATATCACTGTAATTAAGGCTTTATGATATGTATTAACATCTGGTAGAGTGACCATCTCTGCTCTTACTCTTCATCTTCAGATCTATTCTGGTTACTATTACTTTTCTCCAGGTAGAAACTGTTTCGAATCAAACCTGTCCCACTGGAGGTTTTTTTTTTTTTGCTAAAATTGCAAATATTTACCTAGAAGCACATATATATCTTGATTTATTTGAGTCTTTGTTCCCCTTTTCATTTGGGATATGTATCTCACTCAGTTCTTGCTAACATTATTTATGTATAAATAAGATCATTTAGTTATCTTGAATAGGGTCTTTTAAACAATTTTATTACCCAACCGGTAATTCATAGATCACTGGAAAACCTTTTTATATAAACCATATATGTATGTGCATATGTATAGAGTGCATATTTGCAGTATATGTGGGCATGCATGTGTATAGATGTATAGAGCTGCATACATACCTATAGAGGCCAGAGAAGAACATCAGGTGTCCCATTCTATCATTTCTACCTTATTTCCTTCCAGGAAGTCTTTCACTGAACTGAAGCTTGTCATTTAACTAGCCTGGCTGACTAAAATGCTTCCAGGATCTGCCTATCTCTGCCTCCAGTGCTGGGATGACATGTGCATGCATACACACATACACACATACACACACACACACACACACACACACACTGGTTTTTCTAGACAGGGTTTCTCTGTGTAGTCTTGGCTGTCCTGGAACTAATTATGCCATACAGACTGGCCTCTAACTTAAGAGATCCGCCTGTCTCTGCCTACAGGGTGCTGGAATTAAAGGCATGTGCCATCATTGACATTGACCAGCTAGATTCCCATATATTTACACAGCAAACACTTTTACCCATTGAATCATCTTCCAACCCCAATTTTCAGTATTTTACAGTAGCTTTTCAGTTAGGTCTCTAAAGATTTGTAGGCAAAAGTATTACCTGCAAATAAAAGTATTTTTCCCACTTCTTTGCAATAGTCTCTCTATTATTTACATTTTGTCTTTTGGGTATTTCAACAAAATTAAATAACAATAGTGATAACAGCCATCTTTGTATTTGATTTTAACGACAATGGCTCTATGGTTATATGATTAAGTATAGAAATTTTCAACTATGAACAAAAGTAAAGTGAATAATAAAATGACATTTGCCTATCACCCACCTGCAACAACCTTTAACATTTTTGCATATACTTTCAAAGGGCTGCAAATTCTGCCCTTCTAGATACAGGCTTAGAAATACCTATTCATGTCTATTGCCAGGCCATTCTGAATGTTCTTGTCTGCTCTCAGAAGCTAAGTCTCTACAGCCTGTTCAGTACATGGAAGGGAGAAATACCTATTCATAAATTGCTCTTCATTCTATGGATCAGGGGGGTATCAGCCTACAATCCCAGTGTCAGTGAGTATGGGAAACAGAGATGTTCCCAAGAGAGATGCATGATGTCCCAGAGAAGTGGAATGAGCCAAGATCTCCTGAGCAGATTGGGAACATCGGGGGAGGGGAGAGGGAACCAGGAAAAAGAGAGGAGGATAAGAGGAGGGGAGAAGAAGGCATGGGGGAGCAGGAAGGTTGAGTCGAGGTAAAAATAGAGGAAAGCAAGATGAGAGATACCATAATATATCGAGTCATTATAGGCTTGAGGAGAGAGATGACACTAGTGAGATCTCTAGAGATCTACAAGGATAACACCAACTGGTAAACTAAGCAATAGTGGAGAGACTACATTAATAAGCCCCTCCTTGATGATAAGGTTGATGACTACTCTATATGCCATCCTAGAACCTTCATCCAGGGACTGATGGAAGCAGAGACAGATACCCACAGCTAAACACTGAACTGAACCCCTGGAACCTAGTGACAGAGATGGAGGAGTGATGAGCAAAGGGGCCAAGACTGTGCTGCTGAAACCCACAAAGACAGATGACAGGACAAGGGGGAGCTCTTGAACCCCAGACTGATGGCTGAGAGGCCAACAGGGGACTGATCCAGACTCCATAAATGTAGTGTCAGTGAGGAGGCCTCAGAAATCACTGGGGCCTTGGGTAGTAGATCAGTGTTTACCATGGTATATGAATGATCTTTGGGAACCCAATCCAAATAGAGGGATGCTCTCTCAGCCTGGACACATGGGGAAGGGCCTAGGTCCTGCCCTGGATGAAATGACAAACTTTAGAGATCCCCTCCAAGGAGGGGAATGGTGTGGGGATTGGGTGGGGGCTCGGGGGGCTGGTAGAGGGGCAAAGGAGGAGAGGTGGGAGAGGGAGCTGGGATTGACATGTGAAGCATTCATGTTTCTAATTTAAATAAAAACATATATTGAGGGAAAATTTGCTCTTCATTCCCATTACTAGGTATTAGTCCTAATTAATAGTCAAAAACATTCAATGACAGTTTTTCCTAGCTAATAGGCAAAGACATTCCAGTGCTATGTGATTGCAGAAAACTGTGTAGCAATCTAAGTGGTCACCAATTAGTGAGTGAAAAATTGTGATTCATTTGTGCATTTATACTCAGCAATTATAAAAAATGCTGACAAGAAAACAGTCATGTCTTTATAAAATTTCTTTGGTAAAGTGCCATCAGTGTAAGGATGAGAAGCTCACTTAGTTCCCAACACTCACATGAAAGCCGGGTTGAGCTTCTGTCACTCCAGCACTGGGGTGGGGTGGGAATGGGGACAGGCAGATCTCTGTAGCTCACTGTTCAGTCAGCCTCACTAACTGGTGAGCTCCAGGTTCAACAACAGATTTTTGTCTGGGGTTGGGGGATGAGGACTGGGGGTGGGGGTACAGGGAGCTGTTGAAGAATTCATACACACAGCCGGGAGGTGGTGGCGCACGCCTTTAATACCAGCACTCGAGAGGCAGAGGCAGGCTGAACTCTGTGAGTTCGAGGCCAGCCTGTTCTACAAAGAGAGTTCCAGGACAGCCTCCAAAGCAATACAGAGAAACCCTGTCTCGAAAAGAACCAAACCAAACCAAACCAAACCAAACAAAAACAACAAGAACAACAACAAAAAAATCACAAAAAAACACACACACACACACACACCACACACACAATTTATTCCAAGGAGAAAAGAATACATGTATAAAAATTTCTGGAAGGATTTGCAAGAAACTATCTTTATAAATTATTTTTATAAACCACTATTAAAAAGTAACAGCGGTTAATGATGTACTGTTTACTGAGTTTTAAAAAAATCTGCCCAGCACTCGGGAGGCAGAGGCAGGCAGATTTCTGTGAGTTCGAGGCCAGCCTGGTCTACAGAGCGAGTTCCAGGACAGCCTCCAAAGCAACACAGAGAAACCCTGTCTCGAAAAAGAAAAAAAAAATCTGTGGGTGGGAGAGAGAGCTCAGTGATTAAAAGCACTTGTTGCTCTCTTGTAGAGGACGAGGTTCAGTTCCCAGCCCTCATATGGCATGTAACAACCACATGTAACTCCAGTTCCACGTGCTCTCTGGCTTCTGTGGGCACTGCACTACATGGTTCATACATATAAATGCAGACAAAACACCCATACACATAAAACAAAAACTAATATGTTAAAATTAGTTGTTCTAATCATAGATATTAGAGTTTCATCACTGATTAAGACTTTTATGGCCTAATTGTAGCAGTATATTTTTACAGTATCTTGTTTTGCTGGTCAGTGGTGGCTCACGCCTTTAATCCCAGCACTCAGAAGGCAGAGTAGATGGATATCTCAGTTCTGAGTTCGAGTCCGGCTTGGTCTACAGAGCAAATTCCATAACAGCCAGGACTACACAGAGAAAACCTGCCATGAAAAGCTAAAATAAATTAATAAAAATTTTATTTCTAGAAAAAAAGCACCATGCGAAATGATTTATTGTATTTCATTTAATTTGTTGACCCTGGATTTGTTGTTTAACCTTACATCTTTTAGAAAAAATTGTAGCACTTTGGAAAAGTTTTATAATACATTTCAATTTATAAAAACATGTTTTAAAGTATCTATATACTCTAAGAGGTAATGGTATGTCCTATGGAGTTTGTTGGGATATGCCTATAGCATCACTAAACCTTCACAAAGCACTTACTTGGCTTTGATCTACACTTCGTTTTCCTCTTCCTTCTTGATCAATTTTTGGTGATTTCTGTCTTTCCAGGAAAAATAAAACCAAAAATATAATCATGATAGTAGCATGTAATTTAAATAACAAACTCCTAATCAGTGCTATCTCCTATGTCTTTTACTGTTTTACCTTTGTTCGGTATAATTTGTTAAATAGATTTTTCAGGAATTTCCCCATTTCCTTTATCTCTTTCCTTTTGAATTAGTCCATCTTGTCAGTCTCTAACTCATCCATTTCTCTTGCAGTAGTCATTCTTCAACCCCCCTTCCTTGGAGGCTTATGATTATTATTATTACTTGATTATCGTATTTTTGTTTTAAGTGCTGCTCAGGTCACTTAGTTTTATTCTTCCTCATTAAAATTTCACCTGTTTAACAATGCTGGTTCCCTAGCTGTGGTTGCAAATGACTTTCAGTTATTTCTAACAGTTTGATCTGCTCTAAGTGGGCAAAGATTTGCTAACACTGAATATGTCATTTAAAATGTGACTCAGACACTAGTGGCACGAAGAATTCTAAAAATGTTTGAGTAACAGCACACAATTGCAGCATGCTTATGACCTACTGAAGAGGTCAAACCTGTTTGTAAGTATAAACCTGTGTGGCTGCTGAGCATTTTCTGTCCTCATAAATTAGGAAGAACTCGCAGCCAGGATTTAGGGAGAAGTTCTCCTGTTCTTTAAGTTACTTCTGCTATCGCATAGACATGAATAACCTAAGAATTCCTAAATGTCTTTTTCTTTCTTTGAAAGTGTGTACATTATCTGCATAGCCTTGCTTTATTTTGTCATAATTAAATTCAGATGAAATGTTTTTCAAGTACAAATATTAAAAATTGTAAACACTGCTATTAGAGAAATTGTTTTCACTGTAAAAATCAATTCACTCAACTACAGATGTAGAGGAAAGAAGAATATATTTTTAAATGATTTTCAAGGCTAGAATTTTAAGCAGTTAAGTTACTAATAGAGAACACTGTGGCAACAGAAAGGCAAATTTGCAGGAGTGGTCCTTACCAAGGTCTGCAGCAGAAATCATGAGATTCATGTGTTTGCAGGTTATGTAACAGTTTATAAGTGGCCAGGAAAGGGAGGATTTTGTGGTCAGAAAAGTGGAAATGTTCTATTTAACATATGACCCTGGCCGGTCCCATCTCAAATTACTGTTGAGCAAGTTACAGATGATTGGCAAGCCAGGAGGGAGCCAGAATGTGCCTGATGAATCTTCAATAAACATTTTGTCACAATCACTGGCTATTATCATTAAAACCATGAACTTAACTCTCTGATATTTAAAGTAATTCAAAGAAAAATGTCAAAGCATCATGAGCTAGGGGTTGTTTCAAAAGGCTAGTAATTTTTCCTCTCCTGGTGATCTTAGAACAAACAAAACACAGCTTTGTGGAAACAAGCTATAAACATATAATTAGAGCCCCAGGTTAACAGCTGTATAGTCATAACTGAAACTTTTCTGTTTTACACAAAAACAGACATCTCAACTTTTTAAACTTCCAAATATTTTAAAACATGTAAGAGCCTATGCTCTATGAACTTGTGTGAGGAAACACCAGGAGAAACCAAATAAACAGAAACCCAAACCGTTATCTCTCTCCAAACCTCAAATAGTGATATTTGGCATTGATCTCAACCGATTACTGCTAAAGTGGCACATTAATGAGATAGCAATTCAGAGCCACAACAGGGAGAAAAAAATTGTTATGGTTGTGAAACGTCAGAAAGTATTCCTAACACCCAAACACTGCCAAAGAAAAGCTAACCTAGAGGCCAAGTTTTAAATGCCAAGACTTGATGAGAAGGTGGAATCTCCACCCCCACCCCCAAACATCCTACCTCAGGCAACTTTTGAGGAATTTACTTTAGTTTGAATAGAATAAACTTTATCCATTTAGACTGCAGTTCAACGAATTGTGGCAACTGTGATGTAACCACTATGCCTTTCGAGATACATAATTGTTTTCTGGCCTCCACTTTGTATAGCTACCTTACATCTTCTAAAACTCAGTCGTGGACTCAAATTGACCATGGCCTTTTTTTGCGATTTCCACGTTTTCAGATCCGTGCAAGCTATTAGCTGTATTCACACTGAGGGAATGTTGTGCAACCTTTTGGGGTACGACATGCTTTTAGACAATGTTACCTGCATTGTCCTCATTTCGATTCCTCTTCACCACCTTGATGGACAGCATTTCAGTTTGGAAAGGGAGCACGGAGCAACTTCTGCCAACCCGTTAGCAAGTGGTGTGAAGCTTGAGGGGATGGATAGGACCAAGCGATGTGGAGCAGACTCTGGCAAAACATGCCCTAGAAAGTGGGCGAGTCATGCTTGAACCCAGGCCCAGGGCTTCTCGGAGGCTGAAGTCGCCACCCCCACGGGACACCCCGTGCCCCCGCATCCGCCTCCGGGGCCAAGGGCTCCAGTTGAGCGGCCGCAGGGCCACTGTAATGCACAGATGATGGGTCTTCAGGCTCTCAAAAGGCGGGAGGTGGACAGCAGGACAACCAAACTTCAGCCATGTCTGTGGTGCCCCGAAGCGGCGCGCTTATATGCGCGCTCCTGCCGCACTACACCCGGCGTCTCACTCCGCGTCACCGCAGGCGTCCCACTCCGCGCGCGGACGGCACTACTTCCCAGCGGGGCGCTGGGCTCCGAGCTCGCCAGGTCTTAGCTGGGCGGCCTTCCAGCTCCTGCCTCTGGGCTCCTCCGTAGCAGAGGTGCCCGCTCGCCGCCGTCCGCTGGACGGAACTGGCTTTGTCTTGCGCCGCGTCCCGGTAGCAGGGAATCGGATGACTTCGTGTCGGGATGAGATGGGACAAAGCCGGCGGCGCCTCGGCATGTCTGCGCAGGGCCCAGAGGCTGACTTTCGTTTTCTGCCGAGTGCTGAGGCTTTGTTCCCCGAGGCTGAGCGCAGAGCACAGGGCGGCTTTGTCTGTGCGGCCGAGCCGCGGCCCAGCTGCCTTCCCGGGCTGGAGGAACCGTCCCGCGCCCGGGGACCGGGGTTGGGGGGGGTGGAGGGGAGGTGGGGGGGCGCATTTATGCACAACCTTCTCGTTCAGATTCGAACTATCGGTCCCCGTCCCCGCTCGTGGTTTGTTCGTTGGGTTTTGTTTTTTCTCATGCTCTAAAATTTTGTAGGAACAAAGTTCTCTGTCTCCCTGAACCCTCATGTTGTGAAAGAAAAAAAAAAAAAAAAAGCGAGAAAGCTGGGGATGGCGCACAGCACACACAACCTGTGCTGTTCGTTCCGCGGAGGCCTCCCGGTCGCTGCTGGGTGTCCAACCATGGGCAGAAACAATGGAACCAGACGACCTTAGACCCTACGGAAGTGAACCGTCCTGGTTAGAGTTAGGTTGGGGTCCCATAATATGATTTATGACTACCCAAAGCGAATGTGGGAAGAAACTGGTCCATGAAGACCGGCTTTGAGTCATCAGAGAAGGCATCTGTTTGAGCATACAACCCGCCAGGAATGATAAAACAAACAAAAAGTAGCAATGTAGAATATGAAGTCAAGTTGGCTTTAGAGTTTCTTGTCATAGCAAATTACCCCCCCCACAGTCACGGCATTTCATGTCTTGCTAACATTATATACTTTACGTATTTGTTTCTTGGTTTCTCTCCTCCCTGTAAACCTAATGAGAACAGGGAGTTCACTATTTTCCCTGGAGCCTAGTGTGGTATTTGGCAATGTACTGGGAACATTTGCAGATAGCTGCTGAGTCAGCAAATAAGCAACAGCGTTATTTATTTAAAGGTCCCGTGAGTTGAGGATAAAAACCACAAGACACAAGAAAATTGCTCTCCTAACTCAGTTTTATTTTTTTGACACAATAATCCATAAGGACTAGCTAAAAGGTAGCCAGTCTGCCATTTCATTTTCCAAGGGGGGGGGGGGGGGAATCGAGCTCTTTCCTCTGCTGCTTTTCATTCTAGGTATTGATACTCTGATGTGAATTCACCTAAAGTGTACGAGGAAAGTGAATGTCCATAATTGTAACTAATCTCCAGTTACAAGCTCCCTTCCAGTATACGGTAGTTTGAGTAGCATTCATGGTGGGCTGCTGTAGGACTTTAAGAATAGCTACATGGTATTATACACTATTAAAAACACACCTGGAGAGTACTTGGAATGAAAATTGGGTGAACCTTCTTTAGTTCCAAGGAAAATGAGATGAAGTACTTAAATGGGAGTGTGGAGACACAGAATAGCCAGCTATCCCCAAGGGGTTCTCCTGTATCAATTTCCTTTTCTTTGGAACTTTTGGTTAGGAAAAATCTACACCTTGGCCAGGCAGGTTTGCAATACCTGTAAGAGCAGAGCTAGAAAAGCTCTTCATAAGAAATAAGCATAAGATCTCAAGTATTCATGCTGCAATTATTCCAGTAATTATGGCATCCTAATATGCAACACTGGAGATATCTTTGGAGGTCATACATTCAAGTATTTTCAACTCATGAGCATCTATTATGTGTCAGGCATTGTTATAGATGCCACAGATACATCAGTGAACAGACAAAAGTCTTCCCACTCTTGTACATTATTCCTATCAGGACCTTTTACTGCATCTTTTCTCCTATTTTAATCATTCGTCACTGCTTTTTTTTTGTTATCTGGGTCCTTCCTTTACCAGTTTTTAAAAAATTTGTTCCCATTTCCTGTACCTCCCTCAATTCACTCAGAATATAAATGTATGAAATAATGTGAAATAAAATGTGATGAAATAAAATTTAAGGTCATAGCTAGCTTTTAGCAAAAGAATTAATTTTCAAATTTTCTTTTTGTAAAGTCTAATCTCCCTGGTTTCTTTCAGTTGACTATTGTGTAAATGAAAATAATTACTATCTATTCAATGTCTGCCCTTCTGTAAGAGTGTCTTTTTTCACATAAACTTTGATCATAAAACATAATGCAGAGGATAGTAGCACCATCAGAGGAGCATTTAAAATAGATGTCCTCAAGATTGCTTTCCTTTCCGTTCTTTCCTCATTCTGGCTCCTTCGTTCCCTCCCTCTCGTTCTCGCTCATCTCTTCCTCTTCTGCTCTCTGTCTCTCTTGTCAAGTCTCACACTGTAGCTCAGCCTGGACTCAAAATCCCAGCAACCCTCTGCCTTAGCCTCCTGAGTGCTGGGATTACAGCTATGCACCATTATACTAGACTTCTTGGAGGATTTTTAGAAAATAGTAAATGACACTAGCTCAGAAATCCAGACTGTATGAAAAGATTTTAGTGTAGAGCACAGCCTCTGAAGGAATTGTCAATCCATATTTGGTTTTATTCCATTAGTTTTCTCTAAAATTTCTCCCTTAAGTCTAAAGTACTCACTGCCCTAAATATTCTCTGAAGTCCATAGCTTAGTTAGAATTCTCCTTCCCCATTTCATGTTGGAATGCATTGTATTTCAGATCTGCAGAAACGTTTCCCTGTTCATTCCTTGGTCTAAAGGAAGATGTCAGCTGGTTTCCTTCCAGCCTTCCTCCTGCAATTGCTTACATATTGAGGTCGGGTGGATTACTCACCATGCTAATGACTCTTAGTGTTGACTGGCATATGAGAATCACTTGGGAGGCTTTTTAAAAACTGCTGGTTCCTAGCCTGCCCATGACTAGTTGAATTAGAGCCAGTGGAAGTGGAATCCTAGTGTTGGCAACCTTATGAAGCATCTAGAAGATTCTATGGAACAGCTACATTGGGGAATCATATAATAGACAGCTCAGATATATGTTTAAAACAATAGTTCTCAAACTCAATATCCCCCGTCTCTACCTTCCAAGTGCTGGGATTACAGGTGTATGCCACTATGTGTGTGTTCGCTTTTCTCATCCATAAATTAAAACACAGGAGTATAAATATATATTTACTGTAAACACACACAGTAAACATACATTTTTATGTGTGCACCACAACAATCAATGTATGGGACATTTTTATCACTTCCAAAGTTTAATTGTGCCCCTTTGCTGACAATCCCCATCCATCATTTTCAAACAACCCATGATCTATTTCCTGTCACTACTGATTAGATTGCCTTTTCTGGGATTTATTTATTAACTCCAGGGACTTGGGAGAAGACTCAGTAGATAAAGTTCTTGCTGCTCCAAACATGAGGACCTGAATCTAGGTCCTCACCATGCAATATAAGTCAGCTGTGCTGGGGAAGCAGCGACCAGAGGATTCCCATGACTTGCCGACCAGCCAGCCACCTGAATCAGTGAGCTCCAAGTATAGTGAGAGACCTTGTCTCAAAATTACCATGGAGAAGCGATTGAGAAAGAAACTGGGCACAAACCTCTGGCCTCCACAAACATGCGCACATGTGCATACAAATACATAAGCACATATACATAAAAGCCTTCATATATACTAAATTTATGTATCTGGATTCTTTCAGTGAATCTAGCCATAGTCTTCTGCAGTGTGCGCAAACCATGTTTCAATTAGGAGTGGCATCTATTTTCCAGCTCTTGAATCTAGGCAGATACCGTAACTTGCTTTCACCAAGAGAATACAGTAGAAATGACTGTATGATATATTTTACCCATGTGGAACACAGCTGTCACATAAAAATGGGCTACGTTACAAAATTGAGAGGGGTGCGAGTGTATAGGTGTGGTGCTGTGGGGCAGGGGAGAGGGAAAAGAAACAGAGGAGAATAAAGGTGCCCTGCTCAACAGCATTAAAGTTCCTAGGTACGTAGATGAAGCCATTTCAGCCCTGCAATGTCAGGTGGGGTGCCACAGTCAGAGAACATGTGGGTCAGAGAAGAGCTAGCCTCACTGTCCCATGACTGAATTGCTAACCCTAAGAACTGCGAGCAAATGAAGCGCTCTTGGTTTAATGCTGAATCATGGGAGGGCTGGTAAAAAGCTGGAGCTAGCTAAAGCCATGAGTTTCCTGTTTCATCTTTCTTTAAGGACCAACAGAGCTTCTTTGTGACCATAAGAATAAACTGGGTGTGGTGGTGCACGCCTTTAATCCTAGCACTTAGGAGGCAGAGGCAGTCTGGTTTACAAAGTAAGTTTTAGGACAGACAAGGCTGTTATATGGAGAAACCCTGTCATATACATACATACATACATACATACATACATACATACATACATGTATACATAGACAGCTTACCTCAAGTCTTCTTCATACTGTTTTTCCTACAGATGTCATAAACTGCATCTAAATTCTAATTTCACAACCGTTTTATCAGCTTGAAAATTATGGTGTGTTTTTTTTTACATTCTACTTTATGGGCTTTAAAAATTATTAAATCCTTTCCCTCTTCCACAGTGTTCTGGCATTTGAATTGCAGCACAATATAAAGAAAAGAATGGAGAGTCTGGGAGCCACGAGCCCTCACTTCATGTATGGTTCTGGGAAAGTTTGACATTTTCCTGCCCCTGATTTTCTCCATATAAAATAGAAGTATTTCCTGGGATGATAGAGCATAGTGTACATAAACAGATGGGAATCTATGCAAAAGCAAGAGGACTCTGTTTTTATAGCTGACAGATCCTCTGCAAAGACACTTGCATGTGTTGGGTTCTCTGTCATAG